AATGAGACCAGGACAGAGCTCAAGATTCTGGTTTGGGATCATTCAGGGCTGTTCCTCATACAGTCCTCACAATGAAAGATCAAACCTACAATTTTTCTTCCACAATCTTTGTTGTTTTTACTAAATCAGCCAGGCTGAGCAAACTTGCGATGCCACAAGGCACCTGTTGGCTTGTCTGAGGTCACTGTGCAGTACGAACACTGTGAAGGACAGGGACATCTGAGTTTGTAAACTATGAGTAAGAATCAATCTCCAAGATTTCCCAAGTTGCTAGGATAACCAAAAGAGAAAACACTAATGTGGTGTATGTTCTAAAACATAACATGTGCTCATCAGAGGTGAGCAACAGTAATGCAAGAATGGACTGTACATTCCTCAACCCTCCCCACAAATCACAATTACAAATGTTCCCTTTGCCCTATCCACGAAAATCTGCTTTTCAGAAACTTTAAATATGTAAAGGACTGCAGGTAAAGACACTGTATGGCCCATACTGGGGAGTGGTAAACACTGAAATATAAAATGGTTTGGGCAGAAAAGGACATTTAAGCTCATCTCATTCCACCCCCTGCCATGGGCAGAGGCACCTTCCACTATCCCAGATTGCTCCAAGCCCTGTCCAACCTGGCCTTGGACACTTCCAGGGATGGGGCAGCCACAGCTTCTTGGGCAACCTGTGTGTATTAGGGAGGATTCGAGCATACTGAAATCTTGAAACCATGACACCATTGCAAGCTCAACAAAACTGATATTTATTACCAAGAGGTGGCCAACAAAACGAACAAACCCAAAAGAGAGGAAGGAGGAGAGAAATAAGCCCCCAGCACGACCTCTCCCAGTCACCCAGTCATTTTGTATATAATTTATACAAAAACTCCCTTCAAGGACAAAGTTCCCGTTTTCTCAGTGCTTGTTTTCTCATAACTGGGCAGGGAAAGAACAAAACTTTCACAGGTGGCTGGGCAGAACACAGACCAAAGCATCAGTGTAATTAATCCCTGATACAGTGTCAGGGCCTCACCACCCTCACAGGGAAGAATTTCTCCCCAACATCCCACCTAACCCTGCCTTCTGGCAGTGGGAAGCCATTCCCCATTGTCCTGTCACTGCAGGCCATTGTAAAAATATCCTAAGTAGCTGGATCACAATCAGTGGCAGGAATGGCATTCTGAAATGAGTCAACTTTAGGAAGTAATGTGTTACTGATTTTTTCGTGAAATGCTGAAAGCTCAGGATCAAGAGGGATCAACAAATTCCATGCTATCCTTGAAACTGAAACAATTCAAAAGAAAATTGCTCCCAGCTTCCCTTGCTCCCATCCCTCCTGTCACAGACATGAAACACGAAGAGTGGATTTTGGGCAAATTTCCATTACAGTGCACTCTGGAGTGGAGGTCTTGCAAAAAAACTCTTCTAGAACCAAAGATAATTTTCAGAAAACTTAATTGAGAAACCAGAGCAGCAATCATCTTGCAGCCCTAACATCAGTACTGTAACTAACTCTCCCTGTGCCACGTGAAACAGTGCCGAGCCCCCGGAAGCAACGGGCAACGACACCAGCTCTTACCTTCCCTCAGTCTTCCACTCTGTCCACTGTCCAGTTGCAAACTTATATTCAAAGAGATCATTTTTATTCTTCAGGTTGGAATTGGAATAAATGTCTCCAGTGTAACCACCTGGGCAATAAGAATTTCATTAGACTCTAAGGCAGTGGAGCATACACACTCCAGGGTGTTGTATTAGGAGAAACTCTAGATTGCACAAAGAGCAGGTATCTGGTATCTATCTACTACAGGTGAGAGACTTTTCCTCTACATCATCTCCTACAGAATCACTGTGGTAATGAGTTTCAAGTCTTCTTTACTTTAAACAAAACAACAAAAGTACTTCCAAGCTAAAATTGAAATCACATGAAAAATACTGGATTTACTACTGAATGAGATCTTTTGACACTTCCTAAAAACCTCCTGTTCTTTTTCCAAACCAACGCAGCAGCACATTTACCACTCCAACCACAATTGTAACCTGCTGCTGCCTTACCAAACACAAACATGCTGCTCCCGTAGACCACGGCAGAGTGGTGGTACCGCGGTGCCGGCGGGGTCCCCGTCGTGAAAGCCCTGCACAAGTTAGAACAGCAGCAGTCAAACACCCTGGTCGTGCTTCAGGCACTCAAAGCTACTGTTCAAATTCAAAAAAACCCACAGTTGTTAGAAGTTATTCTACTGATCCTGAGCGTTTCACCAGTTTTGGGTTCTTGACTACACTACGATTATGCCAAATGCTGCATTATGCTGCAGCATAAATGGTTACAAACACGCTGCTGCTGAAATCTGTTTGGCAGAGTTGGAAAGTGGGGCACGGGTGAGACAAGACAGACTGTGCAGTCCAGAGGAAAGGAGGCAAGACAGGTATGAGCCTCCCTCAGCACCTTCCCTGCCCCAAGGGGCGCAGCAGCCGGGTCCCTCTGCCCTCCCACAGGCTGCAGGAACAGAGTTGACCCCGGCGGGCAGGGATCAGCTGTGACAGCGCTGGCTGGGGGTGACACTTCCCTCAGATGCTCTGGTAGAGCCACAAACTTTTACACCCGGACTGGAGGTGCTGAGGAAAGACGCCGTGTGTCCCAGCCCTGCCAGCGCCCGGGGGCGGGCGAGGGGCTGCGCTGCCCACCTGCACCACGAGCAGTCCTTCACGTCGAAGCGCAGCAGGTCGTTCAGCATCGTTTTCCTGAGGGGAGGGACGGGAGAGGCGGCTGAGCCGGGCCAGGGGTCGGACAGACCCTCAGCCCCGCTCCCCTCACACCCCTCTCCCCTCGCACCCCGCTCCCCTCGCAGCCCGCTCCCTTCACGCCCCTCTGCCCTCAGCCCCGGCCGTGCTCCCCCCGTTCCCGGCTCCCCTTACCCGTTGTCCCCGCCGAACACGTAGATCGCATCCCGATAAGCCACCACGGTGTGTTTGCTGCGCCTGCGGGTGGCACGGACGGGTCAGCGGCGCCGGGACCCCCCTCCCCGCCATCCCTCCCGCTCCCCCGCTCACCGGGCCCCCACGAACTCGTCGCAGGGCGGGAGGCGGCGCCAGCGGTGCACGGTCTCGAAGGGCCCGAAGTTGAGGGTGAGGTACTCGACGCTGTCCGAGCAGCTGTGGTCGAAGTCCACGCTCGGCGCCACCTTCGAGCGCCCCGCACCGCCCGCCGGGGCTGTGGCCGCCGCCATGGCCCGCGCCTGCCCCGTGGGACTACAGCTCCCGCCGTGCCCCGCGCGCGCGGCTTCCGGCGCGCCAGCACATCCTAGCCGGACTACAACTCCCGGCGTGCCCCGCGGCAGAGGGCTCTGGCCTGGCCCCTGCCCAACCCTGGACTACAGCCCCCAGCATGCACCGCTCCGGGGGGCGGTGCTGAGGCGCTGAAGGTCCCGGGTTCGAGGCCCGCGGTTCTCGCGGAGATCCGCGGTAGCCCCAAAGACGGGGATCCAGGCGGGATTATACGTTAAAAGAGTTTTATTTGTTAATAGAAAAAAACCCAAACAAACCAAGAGCAATACTCACGCCTATGCATTAAGTCTCATTCCAGGGTCCGAGCTGGGCTGTTGGCTGGTTAAACGCGATGGGCTCGGAACTTGGGTCGGGGTTCAGCGCTGCTCCCAGGAGAACACCCAGCAAGCACACGTCCGGTTCATCCCCACGGAGAGCCCCGAGCAGGGCACGCGGGTGCCAGGCACCAACACAGCAGTGGCACGTGCCCAGGGTTGTGCAGTCGCCCACCCTTCGGTTTTTGTTTTGTTTGTATTTCCTAACATGGTGTCAGTCACCTCTATGACTGTTACTTAAAGTTTCTTCCCAACAGCGGACAACGCGAGGGGTGCTGCACCTCAAAACCAGACCACGGACACAGCTCCGCGGAGTCCAGCAGCTTCCATCCTGAGCAACCACCTTATTACTGGTCAGAGTTGTTTTGGCAGAATTCCTGCAGCAAACACAATCCTTGTTTAAAGGCACGTCATGGAGCGTTTGGAATTGTGTTAGCAAGGAGGACAGCTGGAAGGCCAAAAAGCAACAAAGTCATGAGCACCAGCAGGACCTTGATGAGTTCCCTCAAACCATCTCCCTCATTCACTGTCTCCCAAATTCTATCCAGCCTCTTCTAGGGGAATGCTTGAGTCAGAGTATTTCTTGCCAAGAAACCTGGCACAGGGTGAGTTCGCTGGCAACAGGTGCTGCAGGACCACACTGTCCCTGTGCCCATCCTGGGGACAGGACCAGCTCCAGGGCTGGTCCCAAATTCTAGCTCCTGCACAGTGGCACCGTGCCCAGCCAGCCCTGACTGCACCCGAGCTGAGGCTGTAGCTGGAAGAATGCAGAGCACTGGTCCTCAAAAGCCACTGATCCCTTCTCACTCTCCTGGAAAAATCATTGACAGCTGCAAATCAAAGCAGCTTCTCCCAACACACCGAGTCCAGCAGGAACATGACACTGGCCCAGCCACCTTTTGGACCTTACAATCACACAGACACCCCTGGATGTCTCAGTTCAGTGTCAGTACCACTGTGTCAGTCTCATTCTTCATGGTCTTGTTTAAACCCACCCTCTGACCTGCCTAAAGCCCCTCTGAGGCACAGTCCAGCCAGCTCCAGCTTTAGCTCCAGCCCCCACCAGAGCAAACCAGCCTTCAATGTGCTGTTTACTCCTGACACCCCGAAACACACCTTGATGCTTCCAGATGTCTGGCATTCACTTACCTCCAAGCATGGATGGCTGGTTTTGAGCCTTTGCTGCCAACACACAGGGCAAAAATAGCTGGTCCTGCCTCTTCCCAGAGCTGGGACTGGTCCCTCTGAGGACATTCCTGACCCTTCCTGCACAGCTATCAGGACACACCCCTGCAGCCATCGGCTTCTCAGAGGGCTTCCAAGAGAGACTGCATTGTTCAGGTTAATTTTTTTCCCTTTTCAGTGGAAGCTGAAAGAGACAAAGGCCCAAGAACAAAACTCCTAATAGACTCCTAATAGTACGACAGGAGGGCCAGGGCACCAAGTTTAATTAGATATTCTTATAGACCAGAGAATCCACAAGGAAGAAAGACACTGCGACACAACTTCATGGAAAGAGCTTGTACCTTATTAGACACATAAAAATTAGGCTTCAAACTCTGCTTCTCATAGAGTTAGTCAGGCACACAAAACACTGAGAACTTGAGGATGGCTCAGAGGAGTCTCCAGGGAATGGGGGATTGCCCCAGCTCTGCCCATTCTCAGGCACAACATGAGACCAGAAAGATACAGAATGACTCCAGCTTATGGAGGTTTTGATACGACGTCGAAGCAAATTATTCCACAAAGGAACAGCAAGTGCCTTTCTTAAGAAAGGAAACTCTACAATGGCTCAGCTTGTTGTTTTAGATGTATCCAGCACAGGACTGCCTTTCTGTTCAGGTGACTCCTGACATCCTCCAGGCAACATGTACAGAAAGTGTCCTAAGGAGAAATATGTCTTTAAAAAGTGACTTCAGGAAACAAGCGCAAGTTCCTTTAAAATCTGTTTTATAAGAAGGATACCAATGTACATTTTAATAGTTTTATTTTCACTTTCCCCCAAAAGGGAACCAAAGGCAGAGAGGTGTTTGAGATACATCACGCTGTTCTCATGGGGAAATCAATTTGCAAATGTTATTTTTACCACTCTATAAGAATACACACAGGAGTGTGAAAGAAGCAGAGGAGTTCAGAGTGGCTGTCACGGAGCAAATATGTTAAATACAATCAGGTTTTTTTTTCCCCCTAAAAATCGTGGCTCCCTGTGTTCCAGAAAATCAGTCTTTCGTAGCCACGTGCCACAGGAACAGAAAGTTTAAGTGGTGGCTTCCTCTGAGTATGTGCACACACAAGTGTTAGCACAGAACTGCTCCCGTGGGAGTGGACAGCAGATGTGAGCGACAGAGCCCCATCCACACCAGGAGAGAAGATATGCACTCGGGTTTATTATCTCAGCTTCCCCTCCAAACTCCCATGAACAGGCTCCATCCCATCCAGGCAGCTCTGATAAGAGTCTGTGGTTCTATAAAAGAAGTCACGTTGTAGGATCAAGATTTTTACCCTGTGTTACGTGAGTGCCAAGAGGAACAACCTTCCCATTTCTCAAGGTACATCCAAGCAATCCGTAAGTGACCCAGTTCCTTTCTCTGTCCAACTGTGCTGTGGGAAACTCAGGTAAGTGCCTCTTCACAGGTAGAGACAGTTTGCTTTTAAAAATATTAAGGACACCTTTTTTTTTATCTTTAAGAAATTCCTGGAAAGTTACTGTGGAAAATGAAAGTGCTCCCATGGTGAGACCGATGTGCAATGTCCTTGCTGCTTTCTCGGGATTCCCTCCCTCAGCAGACTCCTGTTAAGATGAGGCTCAATACATCGCAACGAGGCCATGGTCCACCTGGAACAGGCAGGCAGACACTGGAAAATGTTTTATGTTCAATCATAAAACGTGGAATTAGCCAAAGATAACCTGTTGTTCAGATATGATGGGTCTGGTCTCTGGAGTGGGTCTATATCCCAATGGCCTGAAGCACTCGCTTCTCGTTGTCGTTGAGGTGGTCGGAGAACATGGCATAGCAGGGCTGCTGGGCAAACTGGCACAGGAATTCGGTGAGATAGGCCTGGAAGGGACAGAAAACACCTGGTCAGCACCAACTCTTCTTGGAAATCCTGCTGCTTCCACGTGTCAAGAGAGACAGACACCAAGTAAGACCCTGGGATTGAAAGGAAGAGAGAGGGGTGATGCAGGAGGAGTGGAAGCAGAGGGAAGGGTGGGAGCAGAGGGAAGGGCTCATCAACAGCTGCAGGTGGTGGGAAAAGCAGGAGCAAAGTGTCACACAGGGGCTGACTGGGTGGGACCACCTCCAAGTGGAGTATGAAATTCTGTCATGTTCATTGTTCAATCTACTCCTGACTTCTGCAAGTAGCTGTGAAGCTCATGGGTGGAAAAGTCTTATCTCTCTCTGTTCAAAGAGTTTTGTCCATTTACATTTCCAGGTTATAGATACTGATCATACGGAAAAATAGCTCCAGAAATTTTTGGAATACTCATCCCTTTCAAAAAAAATTTCAATTAACTGCATTCCTTTGGGATAACAATCAATAGCTGATGTTTCCAGTGCTTACAGATTTGTTAAAACACAACATTAAAAAAAATTAAAGTTTATAAAGAATAATTTGAATCTGATAAAACCTCTCATTCTAGAGCATCACCTGGAGATCTATTTGGTAAAGAGGGTCCTTTAATGCATCTGGATCGTCCTCTTCATCATCTTCATAGTAATCATCATCTGTCAGAGGCAAATCAGCAGGTTTTAACATCAAACAAAGCAAAACATCTCGGGAAGTTTCCTATTAGACAGCTGAAACCCAAGGATCCAAAAGTAAATTGTTTCAGCAGTCCTGGGGGGAAAAAAATCCTATCCAGAATATTCACTCCTTTAGGTCACGTGACAGAAACCTCTGAAGCCTGTGCAGCCTGTGAACCCCCAGGTGATGTTATTTATTATGCAGTGATTTAATCACTCAAAGCCATGGCCCTCTCCAGAAGGTCCTTATTCACAATCCAAGAACAGAATTCCTTCCCCATGCCTGCAGCCTCTGTTTTGCTGCTGACAAGGGAAGAAAACTTTGACTGGGGTGTCACCTATTCATTTTTGCTCTGAGTAAGGACTTTAAAGCTGTTACTCACCATACTTGTTTGTGGAAAGAATATCTGATAGGAACTGTCCTGCTAAGCCTTCATCTTCATCCTCGTCCTCTTCCTGATCCTCCCACATATCATTTGAATCATCTGTTTAGAAAAAACAATATTCTAGAAATAATGCCAATTCCAAGAGGTCCAGTCTGTGATCACTCTACAGGGGACTGGAGTCTGTAGGCAAAAACATCCCTGTGTGTGAGTCCACAAAGGGAAACACCTGCAAACCTCCCTATTCTTTTGGAATGATTCCAGAACTGGAGCCAAGCAAACAGCAGCAGCAAGAATGGATGCTTGAGTCGGGGAGGAAGAAAAGCAAACCAGACACACCACAAAAGGATAATTTTACTGGCACATGGTCAGATCCCATCTTCCAAACTAGCCCAGTATAATTTACAGGTCTAAGGATACACAACACTGACTGGTCTTATTCTCCCATTTTATTTATTTTTACCTGGAAGAGATTGATAGCACTTAAAATATGGCACAGGGAAGGAAGAGCTGTTGTGCTGGAAGTTGCTAATGATAATCTGTACAACAAGACAAGGGAGCTGAGAGGGACTCTGGACAAGGGATGGAGTCACAGGACAAGGGGGAATGGCTTCACACTGACAGAGGACAGGATTAGATGGGATACTGGGAAGAAATTCTTCCCTAGGAGGATGGTGAGGCCCTGGCACAGGTTGCCCAGAGAAGCTGTGGCTGCCCCATTCCTGGAAGTGTCCAAGGCCAGGTTGGACGGGGCTTGGAGCAACCTGGGCTGGTGGAAGGTGTCCCTGCCCATGGCAGGGGGTGGGATGAGATGGGCTTTAAGGTTCCTTCCGACCCAAACCAGTCTGGGATTCTCTGATTCTATGAGCTTATCCTTTGGATCACTATTCAAAGCCTATGTAATTACAGGTACACGATTTACTGCTGTGAATTTCTTATTACTATGGAATGCTTCTCAAGAGAAGACAAAGTAGATTTAAGCCACGGAAAGAGAAAAAGCAAACCCAGTATTTTACCTTGGCTCCAATCTGCAGTTGTCTGTCTAGATGCATTTGCTTCCATTGCATTAGAGAGTTCATTTATTATTAATTTTAAGATTTTTACTAACAAAGGAATGTTTGTCCAGCGCTCAGGATCTATAAGAAAAAAATATTCACGCTGCTTTTAATAAAATGTTGTAAAAAACACACCTTTTTTTTGTTGGAGTTGGTTTTAACTTGTTTGGGAGGCTGGGAACCAAAAACAACTGACACATACCCTCCAAGCATTCTTTCCATATACCCTCACAGCTACATTCCCAAAGATCTTAACCACAACATCAATCTTGCATATTCTGAGTGCAGAAAAGGCAGGGGGAAAATCTTCACAGCTGAATGAATGTGTGACTCTAGTCCTGCAGGCTGCTTAATGGAGTCATCTGGAACTTGCTTTCCTGAAGTACATTTACACATCCACCAGTGCTTTCATGTAAATGGGCAGTGCAGCAATCCCAGGTGTGGCTCTGCCCCATCTGAGCCACTGTAAGCTCCATCTTTTCCTCACTGGTGTTCCTGCAGGGCTGAACTATTCCATAGGGATAGCTAGACAGTGCATTTGCCCTTAATTACAGAAGTTCCTATCAAATAAAGAAACTGGGAGCACCAGTTTTAGCCCTTACTGGTATTAGCATTAATCTTTGTTTAACTCAAATGCCAGCAGTTACCATTCTTCAGTCTGACCAGACCAGTTGGTTTGGGGTTTTTTAAGCCAAGAATAATTAGGCAGCAAGTGCTTTGTGACCATCATTTACCTCTTATACTCCTAGAGCTTCCCCCTATTTATCTCTTGAGTTGTCACCATAGTCCTTCCCTGGCCCTGCCTCGCTCCAAATCCCAAGCCCGTGGCAGCTGAAGACTCAAGGAGCCTCAAGAGGCTCCCAGTTTGGATCTGTGCAGCCACCACATCCCATCCCACAACTGGTATCACACCACATGGCAGGACCAAGGTCTGACAGATGGCTGAGGACAGCAGCTCCCCAATGTCCTCCCTCTGGAGCTCAGCCCCCAGTAAGAACTGCCCAGAGCTCTGCCCTCTCTGATTTAAAGGATGAATCTCTCAACAGTAACCTCCAGTTGAAGACTCTGGGTTCAGCCAACTAAAAATAAGACAAGTCTCATGCAGGAGACTGGCCAAAGCTTTCCTTAAAAGCATCTCTAACTTGTGGAATTCTTGCTGATATTTGTGTGCCTCATTGAAAAAGACACCCCTTTGTTTTAAAATCTCTGCATGCACTAAAACCACTTTCCTCTCAGGCATCAGGGAATTATCAATTCTGTCTCATGATGCAAACCAGCAGTGAATAACTCTCCATCCCATAATCACCTCATCCAGTTATATTAAATCAGATACCAGGAGTCTTCCAAATCAGTCTTTGGCAGAATTAAGGCAAATAACAGATATATTAAGTACATGATGTATGGATTAGCTCTAAAAACCAACATGTACCTTCTGCAGGAACTATCTCCCACAGCTCTGTGTGATCTGCCAGACCTATTTAAGGCCTTTCACAGCATCTACTTACAGAAAAAAACCCTGTTAAAAACAGCAAAACAATTACTTACTTTTGGCCGACTTGGATCGTGTCCGAATTCCCTCATCCATATTAAATATTTCTTCTCCCTTCACCCTGATGTCCTGAAGTCGCTTGTCATCTGTATTGATGCCATACTGAAGGAGTTTGCACAATGCTACAGAGCTGGGGAGCAGGGAATAGGAAAATTAGAGATGGGAATTTCCCCAAACTGTCTGGCTTTCAGAGTGCCCTGCTAACAGGGAACAACACCTCTCAGAGCAGACACCCACATGCCCTCTCTTCTGCACTTTTGCCAAGAGCAAGCACTACAGAATTTTCCCATTTCTCCTGCTTTATGTCAGCATCCAAAACTGGACTGAGCTCCTGACCTGCACAGCAGCCAAAAACTGCCCAAGCTTTGGATTAAACACCATCAACAGTACACACACACACACACACACAGATATGAAAGGTTTGTCCAGCTCAGAAGGGCCACAAGGTTAAACACATCCCTGAAGCACCACGTGCAGATGAAGACGGAATTAAGAGGAAAGCAGTGGCAAGAAAGTAGTAATTCAGCTGATGTGCAGCCATGATCTGCTCCCTTTCTCCAGCCTCAGTGTTTGTTTTCACCTCTGGTCCTTCGTGGCTCTGCTACACTCAGACCTTCATGAGTTCTTTCCACCTCTTCTGCTCAGATTTCTACTCCACACTTTCAAACCTTCTCCAGTTCCAGGCTGTTTTCAAGCCACACCGAGGAAGATGCTGACTGCAGGTCAAGGCCAACCATCTGTGCTTGGCACTCCCAAACCTCTCTCCAGGCTCCACAAATCTCAAGCTGAAGTTTTGGAGTTCTGTGGAACTCAACTTGTTTTGTCCTTTCACTTCTTGCCCTCTCTCTCTCTCCCCCACTACGGCTCTGAGTTCTGCTGGTCTGGACCCAGACCTTACCTGCCACCCTGAGCTGCTCAAAGTTTTCCCATCCTTTCATCAGGTGACTCAAGACCAAACAGCCACTTCTTCAACCTGCCCTCACCAGGTGGGGACTGCTGCACACAGAAGGTGTTGGCTGCTCTCAGGGTCCCTGAACAAGAGGCTCCTCAGAGCAGTCCCTGCTTTTCCTCAGGACACAGAAACACCAGGCATTTTCTAATGCATGGTAAGTGGCACCCCAAACAACCCAAATCCAAAATGTTTATTACAGGATGGTGCCCTATCACATCACCTGTACATAAACAACTCTGATCTTGGACAACAAGGAGACAGCTCTGAACAACCACCTTTAACCTTGTTCTCCCCATCAGTTACAGCCTTGGCTTCTCCCTGTGCCACAAACAGCCTCAGGGGATCCTGCAGACAGCCCTGCACTGTCAAAATGGGGATAAACCAACAGGTTTAGGGATGAAAAAGATCAAGTGTGACCAAAAAGAGCACGAGATCCCCAAACCTGTCTCTTGTCCTGCACAATTATTTATTAACTTCCATTTTGAACCTGCTTTTTCTCATTATTTATTTCACAGGCTGACTGCCCACAACAATAACATAACAACACACACTATGAAGTGAGTTAACAGGTGGTGAGTTAACACCCCTTAGAGTGGTCTGTGAGGCCTCACGTTCCCAGAAAGATCAAAGACAGCAGCTGTGGCAAAATTTAAATGAATAAAGAGCATTCCATGCTTTGGAGTACAGCACTCAGACTCCACTGGAACACAAATGTGCTCCATAGCAAAAGGGAGAAAAAACTGTTGCAGTTGATTTCTTTAGTGACTTTAAACAGATTAACAAATCAACAAGAAATCACCAGATTCTCTTACAAAACCCCCTACAACACCCCAAAACTCCACAGTAGTCTACAAAGGTGATTCCACATCTGGAAGTTAGTCTCATCCCATTCAAAGAAGTTCAATCCCAAAAGCCCTCCCATACTTGCAGGAGACACCCCTTTCCCCCTCCTGTCCACCTGTTCCAGCACAGGAACACCAGGCAGCAGGAGGAGCACTGAAGAGGAAGATCAGAGCTTGCTCCAGTTACCAGGGCTCTCCTGAGCTGAACTGACAGCGCAGGGAAAACCAATTCTGCCCAGCACTGGCACACAGGGATCCAAGTCTAAAGCAGCTCCCCCAGCACTGAATGGCAATGGGATGATGGCAGCTGACACAACTGGACCTGTGGATCCCACCTGACTTTGCCTTCATACTGCCCGTAGAACAGGTGCTGCCTGCTCATCCACTCAGCCATCACGAACTCCAGGGCGGGTTTGCCAGTGGGGCCGGGGAGGCTACACAAGAATTCCAGGAGTGGCTCCAGTTGTGAGTGAACCAAGTGAGCAAACACCATGATCAGGGACTGCAGGAGGAGAAAGGCAATGTTAGCTGTACATAATTTAATAGCTGAAAATGTTTTATCAAATATTTAAGGAACCGGGTTCCCTGCAGGAATGGAAGCTGTGCTTACCAACCCCAGGAAGAAGGGAAAGTACAACCAGCTGCAAGACACTGTGCTACAAACACAGGCACTAAACTAATACAGTCAACAGCAGTGTTCAATCACCCCAAAAACACCCAGCAGGAATAAACCTACTCACGGCTATGCCCAAACTAACAAACATCCCTGAAGTGAAGATTAAAAAGCTATTTAAAAAATATCAGAGGTTGGTTGCAGTTGACTTTTGACCAGCAAAAATATGGTATGGCAACACTCACACTGCAAATGCCCCATTTGCTCCATGAGCAGAAGCTGCAGAGGTGGCTCTGCAAAGAGCTCAGAATCTGCACGTGTCCAGCAAAAACGTGTCACATCCTCAGGTCAAAGAACAGTTATGGGTCCACAGCCAGAACACAAATTCTCTTCCCCTTCTACTCCAGGGATTTCCCACCATCATCTTCACGCTTCTCCTGCACCATCACATCATCACTCAGCAGCACCTTCCCAATTCTAAGTGCACTTTGAACACATGCTTTTAGGGAAAGAATTGCAAGTTTTGGAAAGTTTTCTTTACAAGATGCAGTTTTGCAGTCTAACTCCTAAAGACCAGAGGCAGAATTCATTTGCTGTGTATGTCTAAATATCAGTTTCCCAGCCTGAGGGCATCTCTGTAGCCTTCCTCAGGGAAAGGCTGCCCAGCTCCAGAGGCCCATCTTCCAGGCTAACACAGGGAAGAAATCCAGCATCGTGAAAGGCTCTTTTCCCTTGGCTACAGGGGCTGCATGGGAGTGCTTTAGATTAAGCTACTATATCTTTTAAATCCAAAAATAAGCAAAGTGAGAGCCATTCCAGCTAACAATCAGCAGTGTATCCAGGGGAAAAAAAAAAATCTTAAAGCAGATGAGATTTCTGCTGACATTCAAATGGCCTTGATGACACATCATGTGCTGGCTGAAAATGCACATTCAAAAATCAGAGAAATAAGGTAACAGGGTTGGAGCAGAGTGAGCCTCAGCCGAGTGCTGCACTGTGGGCAGTGGTAGGATCTTTCTCAGCAGTGCCAGCAAAAAGCTTTCCCCAGGTGCTGCTGAGGAACCAGGGCAGCCATTACGAGCTGTTTTACACTGAGGGCACACACAAGAAAGACAGGAGAGAGAATGAAGACCACAGGGACAAAAATCACTCTATAAAACTGTGCCACTACAAGTAGGTCAAGGCTAGAAGAGATCGTGATGCTCTGGTCTCTCACTTGATGGAGGCCACCTACACCTCCCATCCACCAAAAGCTCACCTGCTCTCAACTCCCAGGGATTTACCCTTGGAATACAGCACAAACCCACTCAAAACCACGTGCTGCCTTTGCCATAGCATCTCTACTGAGACAACCCCTATCACTACAAAAGTTTACTGCTCACAAGCACAAGGGCACGGTGCATTAAATGGGCATGGTGCACAAGGGCATGGTGCACTATTCAAGGAGCATTAAACCTTCCTCCCAAGAGCCTGTCTTACCATGTAATCTGACAACAAAAGGTTTTAGGACCTGAGGGAACAGCACGAAGCTGTGTTAGGGGAAGTTTAGGTTTGATATTAGGAAAAGGTTCTTCCCCCAGAGGGTGGTTGGGCACTGGAACAGGTTCCCCAGGGCAGTGGTCACAGCCCCAAGCCTCACAGAACTCAAGGAGAGTTTGGACAATGCTCTGAGGGACATGGTGGGATTGCTGGAGTGTCTTGTGCAGGGCCATGGGCTGGACTGTTCCTTCTGGGTCCCTTCCAACTTAGGATATTCCACAATTGTATGATCAGAGTAGGTATCTTCCTGGCTACTCCAAGAGATACACAGACCCTCCGATTGCACAAGCCACAAATAATCAAGCACAAAATGAAAAAAAATTATGAAAATGTCTTTTCCCGGTGCTTCTACTCACCCTCCTGGGTGCCAACCCTGCTCACCTGCATCACACTGAGTGTCTCTGCCTGTTGCATTTTGCTCAGGATAGCTCTGAGGATCTGGTCCAGGTTCTCTCCCAGCTCACTTCCCGCTTTCGAAATCAAAGTGGAGACCAGCCTGCCCACGAAGGCAGCGGTGAATTCCGAGGTGCGTGGGTCCAGGAGCTGGCTCACCACCTGCATCACGTACCACAGCCCGTTGTGGCCCTGCTCGTCGTGCCACTGCGCGATCTGCTCCAGCGCCACCGACACGTAGGCGCGCAGGCACTCGCCGCCGTTCTGCACGAGACAATCAGCACAATCACGGCTTCGCTGTCAGGAAAGGAAATGGCCAAGGCACCACCCCAAAACAACCCCGAACCAAGATGGAAACAGTGGGCAAACTGCTGCAGAAGATTCACAAGTAGTTTCTACAGACTTCGGTTGGTTATCAAGAACAACACTCCTCACGGCCCAGGCAGCGATCAAGAGGATCAACCAGTAAATACAGCAACGAGTAGCTGCAGTTTTGTGCCAATCTTGTTACGCAGAGAAATTCAAGGAGGTTCTAACAAGTGAGAGATGAAGACAAAGAAGTGTGGCATGAATGAAACCCAACCCAGAGCTGAGCTGCAGCTCTTCAGAGTTCTTCTCAGCACAAAGATCCAGAAAGTAATCAGCATGCAGGTCTGGAACCTCTTCTTGCTGGTCTCTAGCTTATTCTTACTGGTCTGTTCTTTAGGAAAAGCCATTTCCATGATCTGTATTCACATGGCAAAGGGCAGCTGCCACTATGGAACTTCTTAAGAAGAAAGGAATTAAACCAGCTTTGTTATTCAGATACTGGCAGGTAGCTGGAATGAAAAGGCTCCCTGATGCTTTTCCTTTCTTGCTTAAATACTCCAAAGACATCAGGCCATAGCCAAGCCTGCCAGCAAGCAAACTGAGGCAGTACTGATGCTGGAGATGATTCCCTGCTTTCCCTCCATCCCACACCTGGCTCAGTCACAAACAAGTTTGCCTTCCTCTTCCCACTTAAATGAGTACAGCAGAAAGCTGCAAGGAAGAGGGCTAGGAGGTCTTTTGCTGCCCTATGCCTGTATGTGTCCCTGAAGACAGCCCTTCCACTAGGTGTGATGAATGTTATTATGGGGGAAGAAAAGCAATATGGATATGTTTCTTTGGGATTTTTTGGTGTTGTTCAGTTTTTCTGTTGAGTTTTGTTTGTTTGTGTGTTTAACGTGCTCCAGTGCATTAAAACAAAAAACATCCAGGGTGCTGCTTTACTCACTCCAGTCCTCCACATTCAGGAATGATCAGGAAAAGTCACCGCAAGCCCTGAACAACAGCAATTTCCTGGCAAACTGGAGGTGGCAGAGACTCCTGAGAGGGTCAACAACAGCACCAGGCAAGCACAGCCTGGGCTCCCTCAAAGGCTGTGTCAGCTTTCCTGGACTTGCACAGCCCTGCAATCCTCACCCTCCCCAGAGTGGTACCTGCCTTCCCCTCCCCACAGTGTTACCTGCATAGTTGCATTGTCATCTGTGTTGAGGCTGCACTGTGCCACTGCAGGGAATGCCTGGCAGATGAGGAGCTGGGACAGAGGGGGTTTTGTATTCCTCACAACTGTGGTCAGTATATCAATAGAAGTCTGAAAGGAAAGTACAAACCAAAGCACTGTCACAGCAGCAGCCACAGTACAAGAAGTCAGCACTACCCACCCCTGCTGCAAACATCAAAGGTGTGAAATGCAGGGGTGTGGCCACTGCTGCAATCACACCCTGAATTTAGTCTAGAACAATTTGTTAATCTGAAGACCCTGGAGTCATGCACCCAAACATCACTGGTGAGAGCTGTGAAAGTTCCCAAGGCAGTTCTGACATTAAAAGCAGTGTCACGACTTAAACATGGCAAACAGATGCATGTTAATCAGAACAGCCAGAGAACTGTTCTAGTTGACTTGTTTCATTTTGGTTATATTGATTTAAATTCATTTTAATTACCCATAAGCAATTGTTACAGTCATACCAATTAATAGGCAGATTACAAGCATATTAATAAGGATGTTTATGGGTTTAATCCCATACAATCATTCGGCACAGTCAATGCTTAATCTTTTATTAGGGCACTTGTATAATTTATCTCCAATTTATACATGTGTGATGCATAAATCAGAAAAAGCCTTAGGAAGCAGTGCAAGGAATAATCATGTAGCCTGCTGCAGAACATTCCACCAATGATGGGAGACTGTTCCTGCTGAAAGATGACAAAGTCAAAGTGAAATGACTGGGGATACACTGCAGAGACTGGAAGAAGGCCAAAGGAGCAGTTTAAAGTGAATTTTTGGAAGCATCACCCCCCAGCTGCAGTTTGCCTTCTCTCCACAGAGAAACCTCTCCCAGTGACTGAAGCATGTCCAAAGCAGCCTTTCTGCTCTTTGCAGAGCAGCCACCCCGTTACAGCACAGGGAACATCTCCAGCCCAGGCCATGCCCCACTGAAGCACTTACTGCACAAAGCCCCGCAGGGATCTTGTCAGCAGGGGCCTGCATGATGCTGACAAGGGTTGGTATCAGCCTCATCTGCATTGGACCCTGGCAGGCTTCTATCTGAGCTAACTCCTTAAAAATATCCTGGGCAAGAGAAGCAACAACGGGATCTGGAGAGAGAAAGTACCATTTACTAAAACATTCACACACATCCCTCTCAGTTTTTGCCACCACTCTTTTGACTAGGCAAAGCAGCAAGCTTCCCCTCTACCCTTACCACAGGAATCAATGTTCATTCAATTATCATTGATTAAGTTTCCAGTAGCAAGATCCAACAGCAAAACCAAGTGTCCTTTGGGAATGTAACTGGAATGCCTACCGTTACTGTACTTCAGGAATATTGCAATGGTGAAGGGGCAGATCTTGTTCTCCATGCTGGCTGTAAATGCTGGGTCCACTGTGCAAACAATGCACAGTGTTTCCATCACCAGGTTCAGCACCTCTGAGCTGAACTGAGTTGCCAAGTGGATCAGGCCATCCAGAATGCTGGGAAGGAACGGCTGCAACACGTGGGTGCTCTCGGAGATCTTCAGCTGGTCACAGTAGCTAGACAAGAAATTTGTTATATAAAAATACATTCATAATATATTGAAGTAACTTATTTATTTAACTCTAGATGATATATAAGGGATTATTTCATCCTATCCATTCTTATTCCTTAAGTTCTCTCCTCTGCAAGTTCTCCCCTTCAGTCCACTACTGCTTGATCTCCCAGCAGCTCAGTGGGAATGAGGAGGAAAGCTCTCATCAGGAATCTCCCCTCCTCATTCCATCCATGATGTTCACACAAGCAGAATTGAGCCATGTGATGTTGGAAGCTTCCACTGCCTCTCAGTGACAGACCTCTCCTAAGAACTGCCCATCGATGGAGACAAGGGAAGAAGTCCAAGACAGAGACATTCACTGCTTACAAAGTGTTTAGTTACCATGTTCTATGCATGAGCTGGGGGATGATAAAGCAATTTCAGGAATAACTAAGTTATAAGTCTCTGCCTTTATTTATTCATTAACATTTCAGTGCAATAAGGAGACAAGGTGTTTTTTTGGCGGGAATAGAGTGGGGAACAGCGGCGTTTTTGCAGATTTTTTGTGATTGGTTGTTTTTTTGATTTTACAAGTATGTTCACTTTTCACTTTAGAATCGGTACAGCAGAGCTTCCTTCTGACAAAAATGGGGTAAGAGAATCAAACCCCAAACACTTCTTATTGCTGTGATTGGCTCCACAAGCCTGTGTGGTGTCAGTCACCTTTGTGATTGAACAGGAGCAATCTGGGTTTCATTCTCGTGCTTTCCATCACAACCTAGTGCTGCTTCTCCTTGTGACTGTATCCATTACAACACTTCACTGCAGCCAACCTGGAACTCCATGAGAATTATTCTATTTTGAACCTGCAGGCTTACACTTGTTAAGCCTCCATCTATTTCAAAGCAAAACCTCACACAGCCCATACAGAAATGTTATTATTATTTGAACAAACTGGTTTTATCAGCGTGATTTATACCCTCTGTCCCTGGGACTAGGGAATACCTCAGGGTTTACTTACCCCCAGATGGCTCTGACTGCAGAGATCCGGACAGAGGGAGGTTGGGTTTCATGTAACCCACTGACAGTGGCTTGCAGGAACTGCTGGATGAGCTCTGGAGACATGGCCACAGTGAAACGGCTGGCAGCCCACAGAGCTCGGCCCAGGAGGAAAGGAGACACTGAAGCAGAACAAAAAAAACCCCCATGGTTTTAGAATAAGCTTTATGAGTTTAAAATTACAGCTGCTGCCATCCATTATTTAAAATCGTGTCATTCCAGCAGGAAAACACTGAGATGTGGCACACAAGACAAGTACCAAGGCATAGAAAGAATTTTTGTTCATCAGCATAAGTCAGTTTAACATTCTTAGTTATTTCAAAGAATAATTTCTCATTTGTTTATAAAAGACCCTCCTCATTTCAACTACTTGAAAACTACACTTGAATTTGTTCATCAGTGAACAAGAGCAAAGGAAGAAAACAGAGGCTGTTCCAGTAATTCCCATTCATCCAGCTCAATATTCTGTCCACAACTGCAGCAAACAGCAGCAGCTTAGGGAGAAGAATCAGAGTAACAAAGCACATACCCAGGAGTATTTCACAGATCACTTTTCTAGTCTGGAGCCATCACCTTGCAGTTACAGAACAGAACATTCACCAGTACCACAGAAGCACTGGACACTCATTATGTACTCACCTGCTTACCCTCACCAAGGTATGATGTGTCTTTTCACACTTTACCCCGCTACCTTTTCAGGCTGCCTCCTTACCTATCTGGGCTAGCTTCAAACAGGAGATGCTCTCTGTTCCTCATCATCTTTACTGACATTACTTATGCTTCTGCAAGTACTAATTTTAAGATGAGGACATAAAACACTGTGTGCAAGATGCACAGCAAGTATATCTTGGTTATCTAAGTCAGTATCCTGATTTGTTTGTCTGTACCATTACTGACCATTAAATGGATATCCTGCGAGAATCATCTCCACACTGACTCCAGGAGCCCTTCCTAGAGCACAATAGCTCATTTACAACCCAATGCCACAGATGTAAATGTATGTAAATATGTGTTAATTGCTGAGGTTGGTTTTTTACATGCATTGCACACTATTTCTTCAGTCAAAACCCCCTCTTTGTAATGGGCTAAATAAATGTTTCTTTAATGAAAGCACCCATTTGCACTGATGCAAATCAGTGTGGACTCACATAGCTCTAAAGTCCTAAAATTTTAATTTGCAAGGACTTTTGAGGTCTGACTTTCAACAATTCTTTTTACTTTCTTGCCCACTGATGTAAGATAACACAGAGAGAAGCCTGCTGAGTTCCCAATAACAGAATCTCATTTAGCCAGAAGAATTATTTGAATTCATGTGCTACAACTACTGTCAGCCTCAGCATAAAAAAAAAAAGGATGATATGGTGCTGCAGGAATTCTGAAGGCGGTTAAACACTGCTGGTGTCTTTCCCAGGAACAGACACAAGACAACAGAACAGTTTTTTTCACCGAGGTCCCCAAACCCTACAGGCTCAAACATCCAGCCAGCACTGAGTTCCAACTGAAAGCAGTCCCACATATAACGGACTTATATTAGAACTGGGAGCACATATGAACTCACATGATTTATTTTTCTCACAGGAACAAGGTGCACAACTGCATTTCCCAACACCACATGCATAGAGCAACCTGAGTTGATTCAGGGAGACTCCCTATGTTTGGCACTCAGCAGTTACTCCCAGGGATGCAGGGTCCCACCTACCTGAAAGGTTGAGGTCTGCCAGGACCACATTTGTCAGGAAGCCATGCATATCAAAGTGTATTCTCCCATTCTTCACACTGTCTGTAATTATAGACTTGACTGAGCCCAGGGCCAGCATACAGGCTTCGTGTATTTTCCACCTGCAAAAGAGTTCAGATGCCTTTACACTTTTCCTCCATCATCACCTCAAGAAAATCACATTCTGAAGTGAAGCCATGAGTAAATTTCTTGATCCCAAAAGAGAATTTAAAAAAGCCCTTAAAGAAATGAACACTCAAAACCCCTGTAGGATGAGGGCTTGGAAACTCCCCCAGGATAGGCAGCATTCTCAGTCACTTCCTAAAATATTGGTTGAATAGTTGTTACCTGTACCAATTTTGTTCTCATAATAAATAAGAGATGAGCCTCTTCCATGAAGCCTTGTGTTCCAGCTGTGCCTTGATTAATTATGTGCAGGAGCACTGGGATACCCAGTACATTAAAAGTTTAAAAATGTCTAATTTTGCATTAGCATTTTGTTAATTATAATGAAATAGTTATGTGCAAATATCACTTCTCCTTGGTTTTATGAAGCTTTTATGAAGCCAAGAATCTACTTTCTCACATTTAAGGCAGACAGGGACTTCATGTCTGATTTCATGGACACTCAGCTGCTGCTCAGTGGCTACTCTGACTTTAATATTCAAACTAAACACAAACACTGAACCAGTGCACTGTAAAACCAAGAGAGAATCGTTACAGACCAGCAACCAGGTACTCCTGCAATGGAGTTTTCTTCTTCTATCCCCACATAACATTAAAAACTGCAACTCTGAAGTCCTAAAATTGAATGCATTTATCTGCGTACAGCACCTACCTCACTTCTCCATATCAAGTAAAAAAAGAAAATAATATATATTTATATGTATTCCTGAAATTTTGAACTCAATTAACTGAACACAAAGTGAAAGTATTGCCTATTTCTCTTCTGATTTTGTAAAACCAATTATTGTTTCCTGTGAGATGCTTTAAGGAATGTCAAGCTCTGGAGGGAGGGAGCCTGGGCACAACTTGCTTGTGCTGGGAATTGCCTGAAGTATCCCACATTAAGATTTTGTCATCTGGCTCAAGAACTGCTCTACTTCCTTTGGCTTCTTCTAATCAGAGCTCTCAGATTCCACCAGGAGCAGTGTCATGGATAACATGGGATTCAGTCATGCTGCAGGAGAGCTCCACACTCCCAGCAGTGCCGTGTCCTCCCACTCCAGCCCCTCACCAGTGCTCAGCGCCGCTGTTTTTAGCCTGCTCAGCCTCCTGCAAATGCCTCGTAGCTGCTGCAGCCAGGGCAGTTGCACTCTCATTCTGGAAATCAGCAGCCACAGCCTGTGCAGAAGGAAATGGTGACACTCATTTGTATGGCCAGGTTTTGTTATTTGTTATTGCTGTTCCATTTGTATCTGAACGTGGAGCACATTTCATACCAGCAGCAGATCCTGTGCAGCAATCCTCACTGTGTAGGAAAACGTATCATCATCTTCATCCTCCACAAACTGCTGGGGATTCGCAGTCCAAACTTTTATCTAAAGGAAACAAGAAGAATTGGGCAGCTGAGCATTCATGACACCACGGGTAAAAGGCAGCTTTGCTGTTCCCAGACACCTGTTTTGCAAAACTACTTTCAGAATTTTTCTCTGCCATAAGAAGTCTTCATCCTCAATTGATTTTTATTCTATTCCATTGGAGAAAACCTTTGAAAAGAAGAAATTCTCTTTGTTCTGAGCTCATTTTGCTCTTCTGCTCCTCATTTGAGATCAGAGTTTGGCAGAACTAATGACTGACCTGGAATCAGTGCTACACAGCTTTATTTATAGATGAGGAATGGAAGACACAGATGAATTTTTTAACAGAGTGCCTGTTTTTATGCATGTCTACCTAAACTAAAAGATGATGGCTGTCAGGCTTGGGAGGCCAGGAGCCATGCAGAATTTCAGTACAAATTATTTCACCCTACTAGCACAATATTTTCGCTCTCAGAGAAACCTCTTTATCCCTTTCATTTCCACATCATCATAGTACTTCATGGAGGAATGAAGGAGGAAAGCCTGAGAGAGCTGGGGTCGTTCAGCCTGGAGAAGGTTCCAGGTTGCCTTAAAGATGAAGCCTTTTTACCAGAGCCCCAGGACAAGGGGGAACAGTTTTAAACTGACAGATGGTAGGTTTAGATTGAATATACAGAAGAAATTCACTACTAAGAGGATGCTGAGACACTGGATAAGTTGCCCAGAGAACCTGTGAATGTTCCATCATTGAAAGTATCCAAGGCCAGGCGGGACAGTTTGGAGCAACCTGGGCTAGTGGGAGGTGTCCTGGTCCATGGCAGGGGGTTGGAATGAGATGGTCTTTAAGGTCCCTTCTGACCCAAACCCTTCTGTAATCTGTGATTTACTGTCTATCTTATACCATTTTGAAACCTTTAGATGTTATTGCCCCGATTTGCCAAAGTAAAGTGACAGAACAGCCTATTAGACTACAGCAGTTTCCATGCACTGAAACTCTTCCCAGGACACTTGCCGGTTTAAATCTCTCATTTTTTTTGCTTCCTACACAACAAACATGCTCACCTGCTCCTCTGTGATCTGCATGTAAAGAAGGATGTAATAGATCAGCTCTGGCAAAGCCTTCTTCACCGTGCTCTTAAATTTGTTGTTTTCCAACAACGCATGAACAAATTCAAATATGCTGAACACCAGATTTTCAAAGCCCAGCACTTCACCTGAACAAAGGGAGGAAAAAAACCAACATGACTGAATATGACAACATACAGAAAGGTACAAATGGATGTCAAAATAATTACAAACTGTTACCTTGTCTGACCAGTTGTTTATTCGTTCTCCCTGACTATCAAGTGCAGCAGCAGCCCCAGGAGGATTTCTGACCTCATCACTTTCTGCCCTCTTCCCACCACACCCCCCTCATTAAAAATGATCAAGCTCAACCTTAAACTTGTTTGGTTTCCTTTTGTCCCATTACTTTCACCTCGAAATCGTTGCAGAACTCAGCCCTTAGAGCCATTAGAAAACTTAACTTGTGCAGCTTTCTTGATGACAATCACAAGAAACTTGCAAAGAAGTGATGGGCACTGTACTAACACCATAAATGCACCTTTAAGCACAATCTCCCACAGTGTTTCAGTCACTCTTTCGACAGCAATATTTAGGTAACTCCATTTCTCTTCAAAAGAGAAGGCAAAAGTCCAGTGCAAGCTCTTACCATCAGAATCCACAGGGTCCTCCACCTCTTCTGTGTAATTTACTTCTGTTCGCACATAAGTGGATGGAGTTAAGTAAATGCAAGTTTCTAAAGAACCTCATCTATTTTGGAATTATTCTGTTCCTATCTTAAAATTCCTGATAACTAGGGAAGGTTTCTTCCTTAAAAAAACCCCTTTGATTTTATGGAGAATCCTGTGTTTCACAGAGAAGACAAGCCCCAGGAGCCCCTCACTTTGTGCACTGCCCAAGTTCAAAGACCACTTTCACAGACCACTCACACATCACCTTACATCCTTCACATCATTTGATTAACTTAGACCAAACCCACCAAGGTAACCCAAAACTTCATTTATGTTAAAACTTCGTGAGAACAGAACCCCTCAGACTCACTCCTTCCAGAGGACGTGAGCCAATTCAACACTGCACTGCTGCCCAAGGGTGAGGAGCCACCCCACGCTCCCACATCCTACCTTAGGTTGGCTCTGCTCCCTATCAGGCCTCTCCACAAGCCTCAAGCCCTGGGAAATGGCAGAGGACTAACCTGGGCATAGAGAGGAAGGAGGTTGGTTTGCGGATGGTGAACTGAAAGTCCAACAAGTGTGACAGCAAACACAAGGGAAGGAAGAATGAGACTCTCCCCTTTTGCAAAAAAAGCCTATTTTGTCAGCTCACGTGGCAGCAGGACTGCAGTGGGAGTTAGGACAAGAGAGGGAAAAACACACTATCAAAAAGCCAACAAACAGTTCCTTGTACTTTCATAGATTCAATGAATGGTTTGTGTTGGAAGGGACCTTAAAGACCATCTAGTTCCAATCCCCCTTTTAACCTAAATGAAACAATGGGGCCTCCTGAAGTAACAGAAATATCCTGTTCTGTCTGGCAGGGCAGACCACTCCATGCATCGTGCTCCTCAACAGCATTCAGGTCGTTACTGTGTATGAGACTGAGTTTGTCTTGTCGGACTCCAGTTAAGCCCCTTCACTCCCAAGGATATAAAGCGGCACTTTCCGTAAGGGTGTTCCAGACAATGGGCAGGATCTGCTGCATTGACGAAATCATGTGCTTGGGATAGTTTTTCACGAGTGCTGTCACAGCCTGGAACCAAAAAGAACATCAGTCAGAAGCAAAACTGGGAAAACCATCAATACTCAAATCACAGGCTGCTGTTTCACTAACAACTGAGATCATCCAAAGTCTTCCTGCCACCAAGGTCTCCTCCTCTCACTCCTGACCACACAATCCCTTCTCTTGCACGAACACTGACCAACACTCTTTGTGTCTCCTCTTTTGCAGGGAAGCAAAGGGATGACACAAGATGCACCACTGCAGTGAAGACAAGGCCATAATCCAGTGATAAGGCAACGACTCCAATCCAAAGCACATCACTGCACAGCATTGTCTGGATACAATTCCCACCTGGAAGCTGTCTTGTCCCAGAAAATGAACTCCAATGTCATGCAAAACCAGAGCACTTCCTATTTCCCACACTCATGTAAGCAACACATCGGGTTGCACACCCAGGGAGCAGCTGCAGGAGCAAACACTCACCCAGATCAATTCTCTTCCCCTCTGGCTGCAGACACCAGCGGCTGTGCCCACCCAGCACAGGGGCTGCTCTGGGAGCAGTTTAGCAGCTCCACAGGGGATTGTGCCTGGACTTTCAAGAAGCTGATCACCCTGACTTAGGGGAGCCCTTCCAGTGACACTTGCCAAAACCCTTTTGGGATCCTCCAGGAGACTGAGAGCTCTCACTCCACCATCTCCTCCTACGGGGGCACAGCTCCAGCTACACTAAACTGGACATGGATCAGCCCCTGACAAACTGCCTGACCCGTGGCTGCTCCAAGACACACGGGTGTCACTTAGTTTCTGCTTACCCAATACAAAGCACTTTGTGCAGTTTGTTTGTTTGTTTGCAGCACTGGATACATTAAGAGAAATTAAAAAGATATGAATTCACCTTCCAGAAAAACAACAGCCATTTAGTATCAGTATTAGAGATGACCCAGCAGCAGAGATAACCCAGGTACGTGAGTTTGGGAATGAGTCTGGCAGGTGCTGGGAGGAAGCATTACAATAAAGGTCTGCTGAAGCCCCTGGGGAAAAAATTTATGCAGATGCTGACAGAGGATGTCAACCTGATCTGCAGGACTGCTGCAAACTCAACACCCTTCCTTAGGGCCACCAGAGCATCTAAACAGGCTTGTTCCATATGCCACTGCTTATGAACCCTATGTAAATGTTTCTAAGCTCTATGCCCAGCCAATCTTGCAGGAAGCACTGCTGGAGTGCTAAGAGAGTTTTTCAATTCAATGGCTCTGCAGTTGTAACAATAGAAGGCTACATTTGCAAGGTTGCCACAGCCCTGCAGAGCAAGTCATTAAAAAACAGAGCACTCTCCTGTCAGATGTATTTCAACCCCTGGCCTCTCATTCTGCCAATTCCCACTGCTTATCTGAACTCAAAGAACTGCTACACACATCTCCTCCTCCTCCTCTGCCAATCCCCACATATTGCTCCACCACCTATTAAATCCTCCAAGATTTAATATCCTTGTCTCTTCAGAGCAAAGGCACGCTGCTCCTCAAGCAGATGTTTAATGGCCAGGCCAGGCACTGCATCCACACCTGAGTCACACACAGACACCCCAAAAGCACCACTGGGAGAGCAAATGACAGCCCCTGAACCCCTGCTCACCCCACAGCTCCTGAACCCTGCTTTGCTTCCTACCTGTGTCTTTAAACAGAAAAGGAATCCCCAAATCTCTGGATAAAAACCTTAATACACACACCAGAGAGCATAATAAAGTGAACTGTCAGTCAGACTGAAGCAGGGACAGGTGACATGGCTACCAGTTCATCTTCCTTCCAAGAACAAAGAGGGCATGACTAATTATTTTTTGTAATTATTTCTTCCAACTGCAGGAAAAATGTAAGCATAACTTCTCTGACCCACAGGTGTTGAACAGCTTCTAAGCACAAGCAAAGAAGCACAACAGCAAGACTGTAAGATCCTTCAGACTGTTGGTTAATTGGTGTTCCTGATATATTACTGCACACTAAGTACATCCTATCTTATTCCACTGTTGTGAAATTTGCCTTAAATTTCTCACCTGTCATGTTTAATCACTCTGTTCCTCTCAAAACAATCAATAGTGGCATGTTCAACACTGGAATTAGGATTCAAGAATTGCACAGTTGCAGCTCATTCATCCTCAGAGACACCGAGTTAATTCATGCTGAACTATCAAACAACACAACAATAAATTACACCGTGGGCATTTCCTTCTAATCCCCACAGTTGATATTCTTGTTGTGGCCAAACCTCCCATCTCCTCCAAGGATTAAAGGCCCTGACTTTCCTGCTGCTAACTGCTTGTAAACTTGTAACTGTACTGGGAGCAACTGGGGACACATTAACCATCAGTGGTTTGTGATCCAATCTACTCACTCTCCCAACCAGGGTAACTGTCCATAACTGTCCCAGTGGATCAGCTTGACCTGCACACTGCAGAGTGGGACTCCCTAAGCCTTCAACACTGTCCTGCAGAACATTCTGACATGGACAGCACAACAGTTTAGGTCAGGGCTGCCTCTGATTTGCATCAGGAACTCCACGAACTTTGGAGTACAAAGCTCTCAAGAGACAGGGAAGGCAAAAAAAAAAAATCTTCCTGTCATTTGCTGCATAGCACTTCATTAGGGAAAAAAAGATAGGATTGAGTTTGCATCTGGTTGAAAATGTGCTATAAAAATTTCTCAATTCCCTCCTCCACTGCATCAGCTTTTCAAGGGGGTCTCATCTGTAGAGCTGGCTTAACTAATCCCCTGAGGTTTCTTACTTCTGCATTACAATCACTATAAAATCCACTTCTCTGGAAGTGAAGGCAATTTATGGGTCTTTCACCTGAATCCCTTTTCCCTTAGAAAATTGGTATCATCAGCTTAGAAATCCTGTGACAAAACCATGAATTGCCTTAAGTCAACAGCTAGAACACTCATCTCTTCACAAAGAGCCTCCTACAAACCACTTGCCAGCAGCAGATCTCCTGAATTCACTGTTTAAATCCACACTGATTCTCTGCTGCCATGGATGCCACCTGACATACAGCAGTGTATTCAGACCCAAATCCTCTTGTGTTGTACCTCCCCTGCAGAGGCCAAAAGCAGAGGCCCTCACACAGTTAAGGAACAGAGTAAGAACATGGTGACATTTCCTCAGGCACTTTCCCAGCCTGTCACATTGTTCAAGAGCCTGCTGGTGAGATCAGTGCTGACACACCAGTACAAGCAGCCTCAAAGCCAGTGTTACGTAAATAACAAAAACGCTGCAGAATGGATGGATGTACCAAGAACAGAACTGGCCTCTGGTTAGAGTGACACCAGCAGTTACAAGTACTTTCTGTGGAGGCTGAAAACTACTTCTTCTTGTTAACCACCCAAATGTATCTGGAGTCAGAGATTCAGACATTCTTGAGCTGCAGTCTTTGAACTGAGATGACACCCTGCAGAGTGTTCCCCTCATGTTGGTGTTCCTGTATATCACTGTCCCAGGAATCCCAGGGCACAGCCAATAGAAAGGGAAAAAAACCCCACAAGAGACACTCTCAATAAAACCTGTCAACATCCTGCCCCAATCTCCCTTCCATTGGTGCTGCACAGCAAGAACAGCTCCAGCTGTTCTCAGAGTATGGTACCTGCAGCCCCTCAGTGAGAAGCCACAGGATGCCCTGACCAGGTCCTGCCTCAAACAGGACTGAGACAAGTTCTATGTCACAGAGCTCAGTAGCTGCTGGTTTGTGTAACACGAGGGCACCCTCCCAGCATTTATTTTCGTTACTTCAGCACAAAGCTGGTCATTATGAAAAGCTTTTGATGCTTGTCTTCAATAACTTCCTTATTGTTTTCTTCAGGGAAGGTGGCTGAAGGGGCTTCAGTGTCCATCCTCAGACACCTGTTCACTGATCTGAGTCTTGCTCACCCCAGCACAGGGGCAGGGAAACGAAAGATATGGATTTGATCCTGCAACTTGTGCTTTTGGCTCTTCTTTGTTCTGCCATGTTGCAGGCAGCACATCCTACAACTCCAGTGCTTTCCCAGCTGTTAAAGGGGTCTTCATGCCTTCACTGGTCCTCATCCCCATGCACACAGAGCTCTCCAATCCAACCTTATTTCTCCAGGAAACCAGGAGAATACAAAGACTTTCCCCATCTCTCTTTCTCAGAGACTAAAGAGCAGGCGAGTTCTAGAAAAGCACCTGCACATAATATGCTTTTAAAACTTCACTGCAGCAGAATTCTGCAGCACCTTTAGAAAAGACTGATATTTAACTACTGAGTATGGTGCTCAAGACACATCCATGGCATAGATCAGTGAATGACAAGGACAGATGGTCCCATGGATTGGATCCCTATAGATCATTGTATGGACAGATCCCCACAGATCTCATCATAGGTATTTTCAGTGCAGGCAGAACAATTTATTTCAATGGTGCTGGGAGCCAAATAATTTCACTGCTCATGCCATGAGCAACAGCAGGAGATGTGCCATGCTCTCGAGTTTCTGTTTTCCAGCACATGTGACTGAGTGCAGGTATTCAATTCTTTCTTCACTTTAGCAGTCTCAAGTGACTCACCTTTAAGACTTCCATCTTAAACCCGCTGTCTGATGTTGGTCCATCAGGCATCTGCAGGGCCTGAACAAAGGCTTCTGTGAACTGCTGCACCACAGGAAAAATCAGGACTTTGGCTGCACCCTGGTGACAAACAAAGCAAGCACAGGTTAATACCAGACACAGAACTCCCATGTCTGACCAGAAGCAACAGAAATTGCACTTTCCTGCTACAAAATGGAAGAGGGACTCATGGCAACTCCAGAGTATTGCAAAAGCACATGACAAAGTTGATTCAGACATCACTTGGGCTCTCTCCTCGTGCTGGGAACTAAGCTCATCTCAATCCCACCCTTCAAAACCCCACAGCACAGGCTGCCCCAAAAAACACACCTACATTTAACTCATCATTCTGAGCCTAAAGAGAGATCCAGACAATCCAGTCTGGAGAGTCTCAGGAGCAGTGCTCATCCTTCTAAGGAGGTATTTTATTTGATGAGCTGAATCCTGCCCTGCACCACCCAGACGTCCTCGGGCTACAAAACAAACTGGGGTGACTCCATCACACACACAATTACCCTGCACCCTGGGCTGGCATTTATGTCCCTCCAGAGCCACCCTCCCCCACACCAAACAAGCTCTTTGTGAGCTGAGTATCAACAGCTGGCCTGAAGATTAACAGGATGACTCTTCCTAGGAAAATGCAGCAAGTATTTTTCCAGATGTCAAAGCATTCCATAAGTAGTTCTTAGTAGAGCAAGTAAAACTGGACCAAAATAATTTTATTGAGATTTTTCTCCATAACTCAATAGCCAGGAGAGCAAAGTTGCATATTTAAATAATAAATAGATTCCTCCTTTTTTTTTAAGTCAAATTTCAATAGAAAAAGTTTTGTATCCAATGCAAAGGACACTTTCTGCCCTCCTGCAGAATAAGACAGTGGGGAGCTACTACTATCTTTTGGATACTGGTAGCAGCTGCACAATATATCAGTGCAGTACAGATATGGTGTAATCATCAGAACTTCCCAAAAGTCTGCACTGGATTGTTCCCTGTGCAAACGGGGGGGAACAGCACACAGAGCCACTCAGAGATGACTGGACTGAGAGTCACCCTTCCCTATCCTCACCCCCCCAAAAAGTTAGAAAGTAGCATTTATTGTCTGGGAGTGCTGGAGAACCCACTGGTCAAAGGCCATATGAAATGCAGGAGTGCTCAGTTAGAGCCAGACAGGAGACTCCTGGACAAAGCTGCTCAACTGCAGAGTGTTTGTTTCTTAACAGCTGTTCTTCCAAACCTGGGTTGGGTTTGGCTTCCCCCACTCCTTCAGGAACACAAGGACAAGATGCCTCCTGAAGACATGGGGAACCAAAGCCTTGTCCAAGGGCCAGGAAACTGCCCAGCATAACCCAGGTGGCCAAGGCCTGGTAGATCATCAGGATACAAGGTTCAGACTGGAAGCTAAGCCAGGGATTTCCAAACAAAGGGATGATACACTATCTCCTCCCCATGCTGACTCCCTTTTCTCTGAGCTGTTACAAGCATGTCTGCTGGTAAGTCAAAAATTAAACTTAATTATGGAACCCAAGTCCCAGTATCAAGGCATGCATATAAAGCAGGGTATCAGCCACTTTACATGTATTAAATTACACCCTCTTCCCCAGAATTCCAGCTGACACAGTGCATAATTTTCCAACCTTTCATTTCCATATTAACAATTATTTAGAACCTCACTCAGTTTGAATTCAAAGTATCTTGTATGTCAAGTTAAACTCTTGCCTTTTCCAGTTCCTCCATGTTACATATCATGTGGGCACACGTGGTAAAAATCTCCACTGCACGAGACCTGGTGCGAATCCCATACACCTGGAGAAAAGTTTAAATAAAACATCAGGAACACATGATTCTTTTTACACATGATATTTCCTTTAAATCTCATTTAATTCTATTTATTTTTTGCTTTAGTTTGATTCTCGTATTTTATCACTAGCTCCAACATTTCTGTTGGAACATTAGTTGCCATCAACTATCACATCATCAAGAAAATTCTTTAAGTCTAACTCATACTACAGTACAGCTTAACCATTGAATCTGGACTTTCTCTGCTCCAAGAAACATTCCCACTAATTCCATCCAGTACCAACCTCACTATAAAGACCATACCTCTGCCATTGTGAAAATTTTGTACATCTCTGGAAGAATAACTGGAGCAACAAGAGGCATCTGTATGTCTGTCACTTCCCGGGTAAACTCTAAAAAATGGAAAACAAAAGGAAGTTCTTATAAGAAATCCAATTTGTAAGCAACAGCAACAACAGAATCATTGGGAAAGTGTACTGGAAACATGTTGATTTGTACTTGACTAGACCAGGGTCATCTGGCCTGCCCAAGACAATCCTCCAAGGCAAGCAGAAAAATACCACACTAAAAACTGCAGGTATCTGGGAAACAGGGTGTTGCAATCAAAGTCCTTGCTGAACTATAACCTGCAGCACAGAACCTCCTTCCTCAGCTCTCATGGCACCTGCTGAGCACATGATTCCACAGTGAGCCACAGGCATCAGGCCCAGGAGAAGAGAAGAAGCAAATTCCAACTCTTCAATTCAGAGTGAAATGTGACAGAACACTGGCTCAGGGAACAGCCTAAACTGCCTCCTGCATCAGCCTTGCCCAGCCCTGGCACCCACATACCTGTGAGCACCCTCATGGCTCCATGCACTGCGTTCAGGTCACCGCTGACCAGCATCTCCATGAGGAGGTTGAAGAGCTCGGGCCAGGCTTCGGGCCAGTCCCAGTGGGCGATGGCAGACACGGCGTAAGCCACGCTCGAGCGCACCTTGCTGATGGATTCCCTCAGCCCGTTGGGGAGCAGTTCCCTGATAGCAACTTTTGCCTGTAGAGAACAACAGCATTTAGAAAAAACAGACCCACAGTCGTGAAACAATTCAGCAACAAAAAAAAAATTATACCTGTGACCGTATCCTGATATCGATTCAACACTGATTTTACAAAATGAACATCCAGGAGACAAAACCCCCCCTGCACACTACATCCCATAATTTTTTTATGGAAAAGTGCATGGTGTGTTTTAACGTAGCACCTCCTCACACAGAGCATCAGACAAGCACAGAGCAAGCAGCTCACAGCTGCAACTACAGAGAATGTACATATCTGCATGGAAGACATCCAGAGGCAGCTGAGATAAATCCCAGCTCCAGTGTCAGGGACTGTGTTTGCTTACTTTGGAAGATTTCAGTAAACAAGAACAGTCACCCAACCCTGAAGGGACAGGAAAAAATAAAAGCCACTTCTGGGACATAACCAAGCAATTATCTCTGAATGGGATGAATCATATCCTAGATGTGAAAGATGCTCCAGTTAACAGCCAGAGTGGAAGGGGCTGGAATCTCTGGCCATTTTAGCTGTTAAATACTCCTGCTGAACAGCTTTTTAATGAAACCCAGAAGAGCTTTAAACTAGAATTTGTCATGGGAAAATAGCCTTTAAGTCTCAAGCTGAAAAACAAAAGATTTAGCAAATCTCCAAAAAAGGATTGCCAGAATCAGTATTTGTGAAACTTAGAAAGCAACTTTTCTTCTAGTCTTGCTCTGGGAGCAGCAGAAGCATTATGGCTGAACTTTCCCTACAGGAATCAGCCCAAGCTTCTCAAGCCCAGTGTTGTTTTAAGCAACTGAAAACAGGGTTTTGAAGTGGAAAACGTCAAAACCCCTTAACTGAAGCCATTAATCCTCAAAATACACAAAGGCACTGGCACTTTTTAAACCGCCTACAAAATTAATATTCTTTATGGATAACGTGCCTCAAAGGATAACACGAAACCAAGTCTTACCCTTTCTGTGGTCTCTGGAGGTCTAAACTTTTCAGACTGGGAACACCAGTGAGTTTCCACATACTGTTTCAGAATGACAGATGCCAGCTGGATCAGAAGAGAGGTCACAAATCAGGAACAAATCTTGCAACCAGGGCAAGGATCACCCCTGACCTGTTTGCTCAGCCTCTTGTCCCACCACGCTGCTTTTAGAGGGGCATCAGGGCTTACCAAAAATGCAAAAAATCCGTGAAATGGACCAAAAAAACTACTGCTGGGCATCCACTGGGCAGCAATGGCCTGCACAGCACTGACCTAAGGCAGCAGCTCGAGATATGGGTCACATGGTGAGTAAAGAAATACAGAACCAAAACATCTTTTTCAAGGAGGAAATCACCTCCAGAAAAAGCTTCTGCAAAGAAAAGCCACAGCTTTGCTTGCTGATGTCTACCACCCCCCTCCTAAGCTGTGTCCACTCCCAGTATTGTCTCAGCACCAGGTTTATTAGGTTAAAAAAGCACTATTTTCAAAAAACGTAAGAGTGTAACACCTGAGTAACGCTGAAGGAGAAAGATTCTTGAAAAATTTAAAAGAAAATGGAGAAACAGTAATAGGAAGCCAATTTTTCACCTGGAAACATGAAGGAATATTTTAAAACCCAAGGAAATTACCATCAAAATTCTTTCTGCAGTTCCCAGTAAACTCACCTGCCGGATGGCCAGAGCTCCCTGGGGATCCACAGTCAGTTCTGCTAAATGAACACCAAACTCTGCAAGGAAAAAAAACCCCACATGTTGGTATCATAACTTTTATTCCCACACAGCAAAAGTCATCAAGATTTTTAGAGAAAGACATCATACCAATTGAATGACTCATATGTGGGAAGGAGAAGACAATTCCAAAGCACAGCTACTCAAATGAATTATGAGCATTAATTCTCCCCTGTGCTCTCCACAAAAACTTCATTTATTGTCTCGGCATCTTATTTCCTTCTCTCATGGGCAAAAAATTTTGCAATGCAGGCTAATAACAGCAAATTATTTAAAACTTTAAAAATATATATATAGAGAAAAATCTTATGTATGATGCAAAATCATTACTCAAGTTCCTACACGAGGGATGCATGGAAAAGATCCAGGATGGAGTAAGACAGCAGGCTGGCAAGCAGCAGACCCTTTTGGACAACCTGGGTTCATCCAGAGAGTGATCTGGAGACATCACTCCAGCTGTCCCAACCCAATCCTGGACAGCCCAGGACACACCAAATGCCTTCCCAAGCAAACTTGTCCCAGCACAGTGACACCAGGAGTGCCTGGACAATCCTATGGGCTGTGGGACCTACTCCAGCAAGGAATTTGTCCAGGAAAAGCAAGAGCTTCTTGCAATTGCCAAGCAAGCTCTGTGACAAAGGCAAAATTCCAACGCTTGTAACAATCCTGTCAATAACTGAGCACAGGAAATAAAAGCCAGGAAGAGCAGCTGCTCTGGTATGGTAAATCCACGTGCCTCAATGCATTTGCTTAAAATTGCAATTTTAAGTTCCAGGCAGCTGATAACTGTCCTAAATACCTCATTTAATTTCACTAGTCTGCTTAAGAATCGCATTTGTGGCGTTTCAGTTCTTAGAAACTGTGCAGCAGAAGGTGAGCCCTGAGGTCCCGCCGGCACAACCTGCGGACAGGCTGAACGTGCTGACAGCATCCCTGACCAAAATGGACTGAAAACTCTGCTCAAAAGGAGTTCTGCAACTTCTGAGTGCTTCACATCCCAGTGCCTCCTAATACCCACCTCACTGCTAAGAGGCTTTTCTGCCTTAGGAGATAATTGCCTCTCACTTTCCCAAGCTCACACTGAACATGCCCAGTTCCTTCACCCTTTCTTCACAGATCACGCATTTAAAAAAGAGGAAAATAACCTTCTTATCTCAGCTGCAAAAGCAGGGAGCCTCATCCCGAGATGTACTTAACATAATACCTCTCTTAACTGGAGCAGTAATTATTCTGTGTGCTGTCTGTGATTCCCACACTTGAGTGTGGCATTGCATTTCAGCCCCATCTTTAAAGGGTAAATGGAAGGGTATGAAGGGTATAAATGGAAGGGTATAAAGGGTATAAATGGAAGGGTATGAAGGGTATAAATGGGTGTAAAGGAAGCCAGAGTAACTGCAACAGCTTCACACAGCTACAATTTACTATTCTATTTCACAGTCTTTAATTTGTTTGCACATATGCATTTGATTTGTGCTCTGCACCTGACTTACAGTATTTAGTTTCTGCAGCTTTCCAACATCTCCTTACTGCTCCCCAAGCAGATTGCAGTGGGACTCCAGACATGTACTCACTGCTGCATGACCAAAGGCTCTGTTGTAAAAGCCCCTTGTGACTGACAATAAGTCACTGAAAACCCCTCTACACACAGGTTTTCAGCCCAATGTGCTGCTTAAAAATATTACAAAACTGTACCTTCTTAACTGATAAATTACCATTGTGGCAAATTCCCATCAGGAATCCTACTGAACTTGGATCATTCGTACCCAGCAAGGAGTCAGCTTTCCCACCAAACCAAAATTAGATGGATTTATTGAGAACAGATCATATAAAACAGTATTAGTTGGGTAGCAACTATTTATCCTATTATGTTATAAACACTGGCAAGCTGTTTAATGAGCAGCTCCAAGAATCCTTCCAGGGACCGAAATTACACTGATCCTTCTACAGCTCACTGGCTCCTCTTTTCTCAAAGAATTGGTTTATTATTGGTTTTTTTCTCAGAAGGCTGGGAACTTTCTATCTTTATCATGAGTAGCTTCAGTTCAAATGCACCTTGATAAGCACTTCCTCCACTCTGTTTTGTAGATTTGAGATATCAGAAACATCAAGTCTTCTCCTCAAGATAAAATCTGTAAACCCCAAAGATGAGAAGCTTTTAATGAAGGGCCTGGCATAGAGAACACTTGGCAAACACATTTCCTCTCAGCTCTGTTTCTCCTCTCATTAACCTCAGTATTAGTAAAATGAAACTCTGCTGCTTCACAACCAAGCTCTATCTATCATGTAACCAATTTATGTAACCTCTTAACCCCAACCTTTTGGAGAAACCAAGCCAGATCAACCCAAAATTTTGTATTAAACAAGCAGGAAGGAACAATCACTGAATCACTGCAATTTCCTGCCCTGTTGAACTGGGTCAGCACTCATCAAGTCCAGCTCAGGATGTCCACAGAGAGCTGGTTCAGGACCTGCTACAGGTCCCTTCAGTTGTCTCTGCAGACAGGCAGTGGTGGAGGGAGGGGCTGTGGCAGGTGCTGCAGCCAGTCCAGGTGAATCCAGGTGGCCTTGTGGCCACCAACACTTCAAACTAAAACAAAACTTGGTCTGCAAAAGCCAGATCTCACCGCCACAACAGCATCAGAAATCGAGTTCCCTTTACCCAACATGTGCCCACCCTTGCCCATCACAGCCTTCAGCCACATGGGCACAGATGTTTTCCACAGGACTGGCTTGCAACAACATCATCCTAAAGCAACTTGGGTTGAAAGGAGCCTCGGGAGGTCTCCCAGTCCAATCTCCTGCTCAAAGCAGGGTCAGTCACGAGGTCGGATCAGGGCAGAGCAGGGCCCTCCCTGCTTGGGCAGTCTGCAGACACACGAGGAGGAAACACCAAGCAAGAATCTAATGCTTGGCCAGACTTCTGACACGCTGCAAACGTGCTGCTTTGAGGAACTTCTTCAGCCTCCATCATGACACTCAAGAACTGCTCCAAAAGCACTCTTTTTGTCAGCACATCTCTAAAAACTGCAACTGTATTTTCCTCATTTCTCAGCAAAGGACAGAAAGATTGAGGTCGGACTTCCCCAGCAGTCCTGCTGGCTTTAGGTATCTCCCTTGAAACCCCTTCACAACTTCTCAACGTGTCTGCAGCATTTCACAGTGCAAACAGCAGCGTTTCCTGCTGTGAACAACCTTTCATCCTGACAGGCAGATATCATGTGTTGCACTGTGGCCATTTCTTGTTTCAGTTTCCCTGTTAAAAATCAGTGCAATGTTAAAAGTTTACTCCTTTTAAAAATTCAGCTCAACTGATCCATCCACTCCTTTCTGCCCATCACCCACTCTACTACAATTCAAGGTACAACCAAGAGAGCACCATACAACCACATGCTGTGGTCATGCCTGCACATTCTCCAGAATTCCTCCTTTCACACAAGATTTGGTTTTATGGCATAAAACCACGTATTCAGAGAGCACCCACTGCAATACTGAAATCCCTCTTGAAGATGTATTAAAGCAGTTCTGTTGGGAAGGAGCCCAACACAGGCAAAAACATGCTGGAACAGTGAAGCACAAGTGATGCTACAAGTTTTGTGGTATCATGGTACCTGTAGCTCTTCTCCTGGTAAAAACAGACAGCAAACTGCATCATGAAAATACCATCAGAGAATTAATGAGTTTTTAAGCATCAAACTAAACATGCTGAGCCACCTGCTCTGGAAGAGGAGATACTGAAAGAACATTTACAAGGCCCATAAAGCCAATCTTCCAATCTGAGATCACATTCAAATCAAAGCCTTGGTTGTGTCCCATACAGGACTAGTCTCAAACAAGACGGACATGAGTGAGGAGGGTCAGTGTGCCCAGACTGACCCCGGATTCAATCTGCCAGGGTTGGCACCATCCTCACAACCACCTGCACATCTCAGCTCTTGACAACAAACGACTTTGCAAAGGACTGAGCTGAAGGTGCTTTTTCATGCACAAGTTGTCACAACACAAGCCACGCTGAAGGCAGCCTTCAGCTGCCTTTTCTACCTGCAAAAAGGGCAAACAGAAGCACATAATGTAGGCAGGCAACAGAAAGGCAATTCTCCAGCCTGGAGCCATTCATCTCTCACCACCACGTTTCCAGAGCACAAGAGCCAATAGCTCAGAGACTTAATACTGTCACCATAAATCATCAAACCTGTTATCTAACCAGGCAAGCGGGAAGCAGTGTTTCCCAACTGCCTGAGAAGCTGACATTAAACCTCCTTATCTACATAATTTAGAGGAATATGTTACAGACACTGTTCCTCTCCATGGGGTGGAAGCCATTCACTTCACAGTTGGACTCCATGATACTTGTGGGTCCCCTCTGACTCAGAATATTCTGTGATACTGTGAAGAAGAATCCCTGCTGCTGGACAAGCACCTCCTTCAGAGTGCCACTGCCCCTGCTCTCACATTCCTGGAGGTGACTTGGACGTTCTCCACTGTAGTAAGATCTAGAGGAAGAGATCATTTCTCCACATTAGGTAATTATCCTCAAGCCATACAACACTGGTAGTAGTGCACACATGTACACCATGAGGGGAGGCACATGGTGCTACCTGGATGGACCAGATAAAGGAACAGAAACACCAACCTCACTTCACCAGGAACAAGCTGATGCCACAGTCAAGCCAAGTTGAGCACAGCAGCACCACTCCACAGCCTGGAGCTCTCATTTCTCTGCCTCCCCCCTGCACAGTCTCAGGGATTGCTTTTATTTATGTTCCATTAAAATCTACAGACAACAAAGGTCACCAAGTGAACTTTCACCTTTCCAGAGACCCACAGTAATGCTTCTCCCATCCCCAAGCTGCCAAGTGGTGCCTGTTATTTCAGCAGACAGAAGATGCAGAAGCAGGTGAGAGACTGAGTTTTGCTGAGGGCATGTCTGGCAGTTGCCAAAGGGTGACATTGCAAGAAGAAACTGCTACCATGTCCTTAATCCAGAGGTGAAATCCAATATTCCTCCAGAACATCTGTTTGGAGTCTGACAGGATACTTCCCTTGCATAGTGCAGCCTGTTCCAGAGGCTCTGACTGTGCATTGCCACCCATCTCTTGTACAAGCACTGGTCAGATCCACTATCAACCTGCTTCAGGGAGCTTGACTGCATCCTCAAAACACCTGAACCACCCTGACCTGGCTAAGACCTGCCTGGAAAAGAGAAGGAGCTACATGGGGCAGGACACACCACACAGGAGAGCCAACTGCTGCATTGGCTTAACCTCATTACACAACCCAACCTGCAAGCAGCTTAGGAAAAGAGGTGGGGGCAGAGCAAGGCTGCCCCATCAGCCCCCAAGGAAATTTTGGCATTAGGAACCTCTTGAAGTGGACGTTATGTCTGACCACCGTGTTTAATGGTTCTTGATGAATTTTTTCCTTCAGGAATGTTAAAACATTTTTAAACCATTTCTACCTCTGACATCCAACAGCAATGAGTTCCATAGTTTGCACGCTGGGGACAACAGCCTAATTCCTTCTGCTTGTTTCAGATTCATTTTCCCTGACAGCCCAGGATATTCTATGATTCGTGATCTCAGCTTTGTGAGAAGTCACAAACAATCCTTCCTCGCTCATCTTCTCTGTAGCTTATTATTTCAGGGCCTCCATCTCTGCTAACCCTTTCCCAGGCAGAAGAGTCAATGGATTTGCTCCTTCTGAGAACAGAAGCTTTTCCACATTTCTGTGAGCGTCTCTGTGCTTATTTTTGCTGCCCTGCTTGATCCCTCCCGAGAGCAGCAGGCCAGTAATTCATGCAGCACTGGCATGAGGAATTTATGTCGGGCTTTGTTCTCTGTTCCCTCCTTAATGGTCCATTTGGCTTTCGGAGCACGGCAGAGCACTGAATGGGTATTTTCGGGGAACTCTCCACACAGACAATGGGATTTCTTCTCCCAGGGACAATAGTCAGGACCACCCATAACTTTTCACAGCATTGTCTGGGCTGTTTCCCCTTCCCCCAACACTACTCTGCTGACCAACACTGACCCACACCTCCCTCAACACACCCTTCCTGAAATCATCCTGTAATTTGTGCCACCGATTCTCACTCTGGCCAGCCTGAGCAGCACTATCAGCAATTTTGTCACACCACTATTCACTGTGTTCCACATCATTTACAGATGTGCTGAGCAGTCCAGCTTCACCTGGGACTCTTGACTGTGTCCCTGTGCTCAGCAGTTTAGTTTCTTCCAAAAGTTTAAGTAAGTGAATTTTCCAAAAGCTTTTTGGGAGTTCCAGGATTCCTTCAAACAGTTCTTCTGCCACAACAATCTCATGTACCCGGCTCTCCTCATTCCAACTGCTGATGGAATTTTAACCATCACAGGCAGTGCAAAAGGCACACCCACTCACCTGTACAGCCCCAGCATCCACCCCACTGCTCCTCACCTTACAGTCCTGACTTAAAGCTGTCCCCAGTTTAACAACTCACACTTAGCTGGTCCCCAAGTGACCTAAGTGGTAAGTTTTACAGCCCAACTCATAGCACAGCAATTGGATGTTTCAGTCCCTCCAAACTCTGGGAGATCCATCCTGTAGCACTTGCTGTTTAAACAAACTGGTAAGTGAAACTGCTCCTACTCCAGCTTCAATGTGGATCCTCCAATGCGTCTCCTTCAGAGGTCCCCTCAATGCTGCAAGTAAAGTCAACACGAGCACAAGGAATTTGGCTCTTCTGCAGTCCTTCTGTACTCCTTGAATGCACCTTCAGTCACCTGCTGGCTTTGAACACCTCTGAAACACTTCTGCTTCTGCAACATTTGAAAGCGTTTAAAGTTTGTATGTCTTTAACAAGTTCTTCCTCAATTTCCTTTTTGCCCTACCTTCATTTGCTTTGCATTAGAAGTGCCAACACTTGTGCTCTTTCTCACTGCCCTCAGTTTTCCTTCAGCATCTTCTTTATGCTGTCTAATGATAAGACAGTTTTTGTTCTTTTAAAGTACTTGTGACACACATGATCTACATATCTTTACCTCAATAATACAGTGCTGGCACACAGCAGATTCCTTTAGCTCCTCCTCTTGGTTTTTGCAAGCTTCCTCATACCAAAGACAGTACAGAAAGGAGAATATAGCTTATTCTTCCCATGCTGCTTGACTAGGACAAGAGAGGAGAAATCAGAGATGCACAGAATAACTCCCTGAAAGAGACCTCGGGAGGTTTCCAGTCCAACCCCCATGATCAAAGCAGCATCTGCAGCATCAGATCAGGTGATCAGATTTTCTACACAGGTCTTGGAGATACCTCAAGGATGGAAACAACACAGCTTCTACGGACAACCTGCTTAAAAGTTCCTTATATCCAGCTGGAACCTCTTGTTCCAATTTGGCTCATTCTCCTTCATCCTCTCCCACCCCCCAGTGTCTTGGCAGCCTCATCATAGTTACCAGAAGCTGCTCTCAGACCCACCCCCAAAACCATCTCAGCTTCCACACTGGAAAACCCCTCCTATGGTGAGTGCTGCAGTTCCCCAGCCCACTCGATGCCCCTTTGCTGAACCCACTCCCCTTGGTTCTGTGTGTCTTGCCCTGGGGCATGGAAGCAAAACTGGACAGGTATTGCAAGTGTGGTCTAACAAACACTGACTGGAGAGGGCTGATCACTGCCCCTGGTCCTGCTCACACAGCCCGGGATGCAGGAGGCCTCCAGGGCACTCTGCTGGCCCCTGTCCAGCTCTCAGGCCACTGGCATTTCCTGGCCCTTTGTCACAAAGCTGCTCCCCAGCCAGGCAGTGTCTGACCCGCATCCTGGGTTCTCCTGTCCCAGGAGCAGAACCTGCCACCTGTCCTTGCTGAATTCCAGGGGCTTCCTCGAGGCAGCCCTGCCCTCAGGACATCAACCACCTCCCCTCTAGTTTGGTGTCACCTGCAAACTGCCCTGTGCAGGTGTTCTGCAGCCTCCTCCAGGTCAGAGGGACAGGTCCTGCATCAGCCCTGAGAGTTCTGGGACTGCAACCACAGGGAAATATTAGGAGACTTCAGGATATTTGTAAAACCGTGACAAAATAACCATGTACACAACTGCATCCCTCTTACCCTGACATTATCCACCAAATGCAACTCTCCTGCATGCCTGGGCTCTCAAAGGGACCTCAGGGACATCCATCACCTAGAGCCCTCAGAAAATGTTCTTCTCTGGAAATCTGTCACCCAGATCATGGAAAGGTTCACTGTTTGGGGAAGAGTTGCCACTGAGGAGCACACTGACTGCAGTGGCTGAGAAGGCCAAGGCTCTACAGTCGATGAACCTCCCAGTGCTTCCAGACTCCATCAAATCACTCATTCAAACTCCAGGAGCTGCAGGGGCAACACACAGAACTCCTGATAACGCCTCAAGGAAGAGCCAATGTGAGTGTGGTACAAGCACACTGAGGGACTGCACAACAACAAACATTTGATCAAACAATCTGCCTTCATTCATTCCCAGAGCAGCACAGTCATAACACCTCTCTTGGCCCCGTCTTGCCCTCATACCTTCCTTCTTTGTACCACTAACTGCCTCTGGTAACGTTTCTGAGCTGGAGTTCAGGAGCAGAAACAGTTCACAAAACACTTCACAGAACATCTTCAGAATGGCACAATCAGACAAAGGCAAAGCAAAATTTCCAGGAGGGTTCACAAACAACCAGCCCCTCGAGCTGTCAGGCCACGAGCACAACTTCAGGCCCAGGGCTGCAGAGCTGCACTTCCCAGCTCCTCTCACAGCAGAGCACCTGCAAATCTTCCAGGAATTTCTACAGACTCCAGACATTTGGGACAGGTCATAAAATTCAAGCTGAAGCGAAACAAAATGTTAGCATTGATAGGTTTTTAAGTTCAGCTTCCACACAGGAAAAGCAGCAAGTGCCTGAACTAGGCTAGTGCCACCATAAGAAGTCCAGAGGAGTAAAGGAATGATTAAAGACACTGCTTGAATTTGGGGTGCTGGCTCTTTCTGAAGCCAAAGGCCAGTTGCCATCCAGCTCTGGTGTCTTGCCTGTCCCCAGCTCCCCACAGCAGTCAACGGATCCCTGTCATTGGAGTTTCACACTGGATGAGGGCACGGCTACACCCTGACCACACTCAGCCTCAAACACACAATGCACAGACGATAACCTGCAGAACATGCCCCAGAGAAAGACAAGGAGCTATTGGAGAGGGTCCAGTGGATGCCACAAAGATGGTGAGGGGTCTGGAGCATCTCTCTGATAACAGACCGTGGGAGCTGGACCTGGCTAGACTGGAGGAGAGAAGACTGAGCGGGAATCCCATCAATCCACACGAGTATCTCCAAGGTGGGAGTCAAGAGGATGGTTCCAGACGCTTTCTGGTGTTGCCCAGAGACAGGACGAGGAGCAATGGCCCTAAACTAAACCACAAGAAGTTCCACCTCGACACGAGGCAGAACTTCTTCCCATGGAAGGTGGCAGAGCCCTGGAACAGCTGCCCAGGGAGGGTGCGGAGTTTCCGTGTCTGGAGACACACCAAACCCACCTGGAGCAAGTGACAGAGGAGTTGCACAGGGTGATCCCCAAGAGGTCCCTTCCTGCCCCAACCATCCCGTGATTGAGGGAGAGGCACCGGGAACGCACCTCCAGCCAGCAGGAAACCACCACCCCCCCGCCCGCTCCGAAGCCGAAGTTCGGCCCGAGCCCAAGGCGCGGCCACGAGGCGCCGGCCCCGGGACCCGCGGCGGCGGCCTGGGGACCCCCCGCCCCCTCAACGCGGCCCTCACTCACCCTCCGTCACCTCCAGCACCTTCACCTGCTCCTCAGCAGCGGCTCGCACCGCCTGCACCGGGCACAGGATCCCCGTCAGCGTCTCCACCAGCGCCTCCTTCAGCCCCTGCGCCACCGGCCCCGCTCCGGGCCCGCCGCCGCCTCCCGCCATCGCCGCCCCCTCCGCGGGCCGCGCGCGCCAAACGCGGGGCGCGCGGGGAGGAGGGGCCGCGGGGGCCCCGGCGCAGAGCGCCCCCTGGCGGCGCGGAGGACCGCGCTGGCCGTGAGGGGCGGGGGGAGTCCCTGAGGGTCGGGGGGTCCCAGACAGGGACAGGGAAAGCGAAGGCCGGGGAACAACCGGCGGGGATTGTTGGTTGTAACAGCCAGAGGGCTGCTGGGGGTAACAAGCTGCGAGAAAGAACAAGACGTGGCTGGAGAAGGGGCCGTGCAGAGATTTTTTTTTTTCCCCGAGACAAACATCCTTGTTTGTAGTTCCTGGGGATCAGCATAGCACGGCACAGGGGCAGGAATGGGGCCGGGAAGGGGCATGGGCTGTACAGGGGGATCCAGACCGCCCAAGACCCCAAAGGCTCCAGCCCGTTTCCAGAAAGGTCTGAAGGAATGGGCTGAGCGTGGGAAGTCTGCAGGGAGAGTGAGAAACCTGCCCCTGGATCAGGGAATCCTGCCCACGGAAAGGGCAGCGCTCCCAGGACCCGGGACATCCCATCGGTTGGATCGACACAGCTGGATCAACACGCCAGAACCAGGACTGGGGATCTCTTTTTCTCTCTTCCTTTCTTTTTCTCTCTCCCTCTTTAATCCACCTTCCTCTCTTCTCTCTCTTCCCTTTCTCCCCACCCCTTCACCCCAACCCCACTGCCATGTGCTCATATGGCAGCTCAAGGACTCACACACCAACTTCCACGCCAAGTCTGTGATCTCCTAATGAAGCTTCCTGATTTTTTGCAGCCCCTCTGACATTTTGTCGTTCCTTTCCACTACAAGCACTCACGAATCTTGGGTGCTCCCTTCCCCTTAAGGCTGGGGTATCACAGGGAGGAGGCCCTCAGAGCAGGGACCGTGACCAGACTGAGTCCCTCACACCCCTTTTCCCACACACTGATGGGGTGACCACCCAGTGTGAGCCTTGAGGAGCCCAACTGTGTTTTCTGCAGCTCTTTATTTAGGAAATATAAGCAATTTTACAAAGCGTTACCATCATTACAAAGCGGTATTGAAATACACAAAGTGGGCTTCTTGCCTGAGGCACCAAATGCTGGCGGGGCAGAATCACGTATTTTTCTCTCTTTTTCTTTCCAATCCAAAATGCTGCTTCTGCTGGAGGAATAAATACGTATTTATATAAGCATGGCTTCTGCAAGCCCGGGGTCATTGCTCATCTCTGCACTGTCCCAGGATTTTGGCTTAGTGGAAAATGTGAGTTCCTGCTGCACCAAAATCAGTGAGGCAGGAGGTCCAGGTCTCTGCTCCCAGGGAACAGGGGATAAGACAAGGGGAAAGCCTCAAGTTGCTCCAGGGGAGGTTTAGGTTGGATATTGGGGAAAATTGCTTCCCTGAAAGGGTGGTCAGGCACTGGCCCAGGCTGCCCAGGGCAGTGGTGGAGTCACCACCCCTAGAAGTGTTCAAAAGGTCTGTGGCTGTGGCACTTGGAGACATGGGTTAGTGGTGAATGTGGCAGTGTTAGTTAATGGTTGGACTCTGATCTTAGAAGGCTTTTCCAACCTTCATGATTCTGGGATTCTCTGATTCCATCACTCCAGACTATCACTGGCACTCAGTGCTGCCTGGCCAACAGCAGGTCTGACACTTCTCTGCAAATATTTGTTAAGGGGCAAAAATGATCACAATGGGAACTGTTTTCTCTGCCTTACACAGATGTTGTGAAAACCAAGGCTGCATTTCAGGGAGAGGAGGGTATCCCAGAGCAATGCCTGTCTAGCCCATCATCCTTTTGCTGAAGTGACTGTATAAACACTCTGAATGCACCAACTCATCCTTCTATCGTTGTAGAAATTCCATTTATTTAAATCTTCCAGGCTTTTCCAGGTTTGAATTCCCACCAGTTTGTACATTGCACAGGTTTCTGGGGGGATGCTCCTGCAACCCCAGCACACAGAGCTCCCTGATCAAACACTGCACACTCTGCCTCCAAGCTGAATGGTTCTGACATTCACCTCCTCTGATGCGCTTTAGGGAAGACAGTTCAGTCACCACAAAAAGATATTCTTGGCATGAAAAGGTATCTTATGATGAACTTGTTTCCTCCTGTGCTGTTTCAGCTCATAGGCAAGGCACAGGAGCTTTGAGCTCCCCTGCAGACCTGTGCCAAGGAAAACCCCACAGGAAGATGTGCAGCAGGCATGGGACTGGTGGGACCAGCAAAAATCCCCCAAGAAAAACTGGGGCAGCACATGGAGCAGGCAAAGCACCAGCCTGAGTTACAAGGGATTAGCCCGACCTGTTCCCTGCTTGGTTAAAACTTAACTCCAGGCAGCAACAAAAACATGAAACCCCCAATCCCAACAGACACTGAAGCAGCCCAAACACCCAACAAACACTCTCCAACATAGGTTTTATCTTCAATGAACCCTGGATGATGGAGTGACTCTTTGAGTGAATTCCATGTTCTGGAGACAGGGACCTGCTGGTTTCACTTGTACATTCAGATGCGCAGCTCACACAGATTTCAGGGGGCAAGCATATACACACACACACACATATATATAAAATCTGGCTTAGTATTGTGATTAAACAGCCAAATTCCTTTAAAAACATTGCTGTAAGCGGCAGGATTAACAAAACTTTCAGAACCTGAAGAACTGAGGTGCAAAAGGAACCTTCGTGAAGCTGCACCTCTGACTTTAGGGTGCGTCACTATTTCTTTTCAACCCCCTTGCAGCAAACCTGCCTCTCAGCAGGTGGAATTTTGGACCCAGCAGCATTATCACATCAGTATATCACATCAGCACACAGACTTTTCTTTTCTTCATGAAATATTTGCTCCTTCTACCCAAGCCCTTTTTGCTGGAACCCCCAATCCCATTTTTGTCTGTCTCTAACAGTGCTGAACCTGCAGGTCCATTACTCTCCTGTGGTTGCTTTATCTCCTCTTCCAGACAAGACTTTTATGTCCAGTGATGCTGCTCTCAGTGAGGGGCTGTTCCTTCAAGGACTGACGTGTTCACATCCTCGAGAAGAACTCTCAGCATGCGGCTTGTTCCCTTCTGGAGGAAGGGTAATGCCATTTTGGAGGGCTGTACCACAGCCTCTCTCTCAGAGCAGCACACTCATTTCCAGACTTACAGAAGAGCCATCCCAGCTCCTTCATGTTGCTTCCAGGTCGCTCCTGCTGTGTGTGGATTCCTGAATCCTGTGTGACACGTGTAGTCGTGTCCTACAGACACATCTCAGGCAGAAACATTACTCATTGCTGTCTGTTGGTGTGTCCTGTGCCCTGGCAGGGCCCTGCCTGCAGCTGAACCCCTGCTGTAAGCCCCCATTCCCTGAGCTGCACTGACCCCCGGCAACACAGACCAGTCTGTGCCAGGCTTGATACAGTGTTTGTTTCAGAGCAGGTTTTTCCACAGCTCGGGCTGTTATCTCAGCATTGCACAAAGACTCTTCCAACTAAAAAGAGAAAAAACTCCCAAATCTCAAAACATCCTTTTGGTACTTCAATAAAAAGAACCAGTCACACCCTGGGAGCATAGACACAACTAAAGTACATGGGTTTAAGGTTGTCTCCCCCACCCCAAAGCTTTCAGATGGATCATCTGGGCCAGGCTGAAGATTCCTTTAATGGTTAAAAATGAACAGTGTTTTAAAAGAAAACCCAAACCAAATCCCTGGGGGACCAAATTCCTGCACAGTTCTGATCCCACCCACAGACCCATCACGTCATCATCAGCTACAGATGCTCCAAGGCTCTGCCCCACCCAGTGACTCCGTGTGCTCCACCCCATGGAAAAGGGCTAAAACCAGGAGGGGAAAAAACTTACCAGCAAATTCCTCTTAGTGATGAGTGGAGGGGACACAAACTCCACCAGGGTCTGGTGATGACAGGATGTCACACAGAGAGTGATCTCTACGATACAAAGATCTCCAGCCCTCCCATCTCCCAGGGCTCCACAAGTTCCACCTCTGGCAGGCCTTGGAGCCACACTCCTGTCACCAGGCCATTTCCAGCTGTGCTCTGCAGTAGTGATTGCTCTCCAAAGGATTTTGGGTGCAGCTCCGTGTGTGAATTGCCTTGTGGGCCTAAATACCCAACCTCTCCTGCTCAAGGGTCCAGTCCTCTCTGGCAGCACTGCAGCACCACACCTGAACAGCCTTTGGGAGAATCAGAACCATTCCAGAAATGTCCTTATTCCTCAATTTTTTAGGGTACATGCAGGCAGAAGCAGCTGAAGGGAGCCACAGCCTGGGCTGTGCAGAGCCATTTCACCGTGGGCCACAGGGAAGGTCAGTGTGGCCACCAGCCCAGGCTCTGTGGCCACCAGTCTGGGCTGTGGGGGAAGGTCTCTCCTTCGACCCAGCTGGGCAGGGCTGGCAGGAGCAGCTGCCCCACACCTTTGCCTCCTGCATGAAATCCCCATTCCCAGCCCTGCCAAGTCCCAAACTGTACTTTCAAATCCTTTGTTCACTCAACCTGCAAATAATTTCAGCTTTGGAAAAGCTTTGTAAAAAACCTGAGAGAGGTTTTTTTTCTTTTCGGTGTGAACAACATTTTGACCTGCCTTCTCCTTCCAAACCTGAACAGAGGAGGGAGGTCAGGAAACACCAGGGCATCTGCATAGCTGTTTTGGAAGATGAATCTGTTGGCTAAGAGAACCCATTGATGCAACCAGTGTGGATCCAGAGGAAAATAAAACTGCATTTCAAACTCTCTAAAAACACCAACATTTAATTTTATAACATAACCAGGGGTTTATTCCACAATATAAACTGCAACATTTGATACAAGCTACCCAAAAAAGGAGAAAGCCAAAATACAGCTGTGGCAATTACTTTACAGATTTTTTTTTTCCTGTCTTCTACATCACAGGGCCCTCAGTGACACTAGGATCTAACATTTGCTGTCTGTACACCAACCAATGCTAGAAGCAACACGCTGTTCAATTGTCATTCCAGTCACTGAAACCAGACATAGAAGTTATTGCTC